AATTTATATTCATTGATCAACTTTATAAGCTAATGATCTAATGGTCTAAATTGCACGGTGGCAATTTTGTAATTATTGAGGAGTCTCGTGGCATTTATGAATATTCAGATCTGACGATTGTAGATCTAATCCAAAGGGTTGAGAATTGGTCTTACGGGTCTCACGAAAAACACTTGGTCTCACATGATCCCAAATCTATGTATATATATATATATATATATTGGATTAGATCTACAATCTAAACATTCATAATCACAAAATTGCCACGAGACTTCTTAATAATCACAAAATTGTCATCGTGCAACTTTAGACCATTAGATCATTAGCTTATAAAGTTGATCAATGAACATAAATTGGTCTTACGGGTCTCACGAAAAACCTTTGGTCTCACATGAACCCAACCCTATATATATACACACACCAAAGATGCAAAGCATGAATCTTGTTTTTAAATTGAATTTTGTGTAATTTTAAAATAAAATTGATACATTTTCCAAGTCAACATAAAAACAAATACAAATTTGACTAGATGCCATTCTGTCTTGTTGGTATGCACTTGCAATTTTAAATAATTATGAATCATACCACTTAGCAATATATAACTAATGAAACAATTGTAGCATCAAGTTTTATTAATTAAAACCATCTCGGTTATGACGTACGGATTAAATCTTAAAGAAATGTAGTGAAAAATTCCATCTATTTCGGGTTCAAATGTTGACGATATCAAAGCTCTTATGACTATGGAGATTCATCTGCAATAACTCCAGACCATTCATGGTTGTCCAAGGGATTAGTCGATGCACGTAAGTTGGTCGGGACACTCACGGTTACCTAAGAAAAAAATTATTGATTCAATTGCATACATTACGGATACCAAGAAGTACCAGTATTTGGTAATTTAAGGGGTCATTTACCAAATTTTAACCACATAAGTATTTATACGGACTGAAGATCTTACTGATTAAAGGATTAAAGAAACTTACTAACAGTATTTTTCAATGGCTGGTAATGTTACTCGATAAGATAAATGATAATGATGATTGTTATCAAATATTTAATAAACGGTCCCAAATTTCGAATTTATTCACATGTGTAAAGCAGTTTTTGTTGATGAAGACATGAATTGAATTAGTATATGGATTATTTAAAAGTGTAATAAAGTAAAGTAAAGGAGGTAAGATTAGGACATTTAAAGGGGTAATATGTGATAAGAAGTTGTGTTCTAAGATGGTCCACCAAGGGGAAAAGGTTACATTTGGTGAAAGTAACATAAGTGATCTGTAATCTTTGCTTTTTAAGTATATATATATATATAATTTCTTTTGAGAACTTATAAAATTATGATAACTATGGAACTAGTGCCACAAATGACCATGACTTCGAGGATGATGAAACACCTTTTTTGTTGTCCATAATTTTAGTGCCTAGATAAATTGCTAAATTCAATTTGATTATTCCTTCTTATTAATAAGCATCTGAATCATGAACTGTCTTCTTATGACTCATCAATCAGATCCATTTATTTTCTAAAACAAATGTTCCAGAAACAGAAAACAAGTCCAATCACCCACTACCTGTTGATCTTGTTCCTCAGACCCCACAATCTCCTTGCATTAACTAAATCGATTCTTAGATCTTGTTTATAAAATTTATACACTAAAGAATATCGGCTTGAGTAAGACAAAAAATGAAGAGATAAAAAAATGTCTATCATGTCTTCACTTCATGCCAATGATATTGTATTGCTCTTTAGAAACACCAGAAAACAATTATCCGATACTTTTGACAGCATATAAAAAAAGCTTTGTATGCATACATGATGCATGTGCTCATGTGCATACACACGCATGCACATACAAATACATAGATCCTATTACCCATGAATATCAATATTATATAGAGGTTGGTTATTATACAATCTTTTATATTTGTACAATCAATACAACACAATCTCAACCGTCCATTTAATTTGATGAATATGTGATTTTATAGAAGTTTTGATTGTTTTCTAATATAAAACATTAATCATAATTAATGAACCATATTCATCTTACATAAATATTCAAATCATAATAAATGAACTTTCATCATTTTTATAAATATCTCAATTAATTGAGTTGAATTAGTTCTATAAATGAACATGATTACATTTAAAATATATCTTGTATATAGTAAATAGGTGGCATTGGTGTAATATTGTTCCAACGGGAAGGGCTATTTTAAAGTCTGCCCCTTTTATAAACACAATGTAGCTGCTAGTTGCTCCTTCCCTTTCCTTCTTTCCAAAATGCTATTACCCACTCTCTCTCAACTCTGGTTTGAGTGTGATTCAAAGCCAAGTTAAGATTCCTTCATATTATCTGTCCTGCTGTTTCACCTCCTCCATGATTTTGCTTTCGCTTTCTTCCTTTCTAATGTCTTATCTCCATTACTCCCCTGTTCGCTGAGAAATTCAACTTTCATGGTGTTTCTGAAGGTGGGTTTAGGGTTCTTAAAACTGCAGTTCTATCCCTACCCATATGTATTTTGAGGATTGGTCGAGAAATATTGTTGGAATTTTATGCCATTTTCGTATCATTTGATCCCTGTGTTCTTACAATTCACCTAATTTTTGAACAATTTTAACCTGGTCTTTTTGCAGATTGAAGTCGTATGCAACTGGGGTTTGTGACGAATTCCTCAATGCAAGCATCGGAGCACAACAGATCCGCCACATCCAACGCCTTTTACCATCAATCGATGCAACAAATCGAGGCTTTCTGTAACCCCCAACTTCAATGTTTAGATCATCTCAGCCATGGAACCAATTACTTCACCAAATCGGACTCATACTGCACCCTAGAATCCTCTTCTGCAAATGGGAGTTGTACCACCGTGTACTACTCGCCTTCCACTTTGTCTTCCTCACAGAATGAATCTCATTCCTCTGATGCCCACGACTTTAGGTATAGATTGAGGCAGTTGGAGACTGTAATGCTTGGAGATTCGGATTTCGACGACGATGCCGGAAATGGGAAATCATTCGCCGGAGGTGTAGTGGACATGCCGGATGTCAACATTTGGAAAGAGGTGATGGGATGTTTTCCGAGACGAGACCTGAAACAAGTCCTCATTGCCTGTGCTAAATCGGTTTCAAATAACGATTTGTTTAACGCCCAATATTTGATATCGGAACTCCGGCAAATGGTGTCCGTTGCCGGAGAGCCGATCCAGCGTTTGGGGGCATACATGTTAGAAGGACTGGTGGCTCGGCTTTCATCTTCCGGTAGCACGATCTACAAGTCCGAGCTTCCCTCCGATATGCATATTTTGTACGAGATTTGCCCGTATTTCAAGTTCGGTTACATGTCCGCAAACGGTGCAATAGCGGAAGCGATGAAGGACGAAAAACGCATCCATATCATCGACTTCCGCATCGTACAAGGGAGTCAGTGGGTCCCGTTAATCCAGGCATTTGCAAAGAGACCCGGTGGTCCCCCGCATATCAGGATTACGGGCTTCCATGACTCCACAAGCAAGTTGCATATTGTAGGTAAAAGGCTATGCAAGCTAGCAAAAGCCTACAATGTGCCTTTTGAGTTCCACACCGAGGTTGGGATCGAGAGTTTCCGTGCCCAACCCGGCGAGTCTTTGGCGGTGAATTTCGCATTTGTTTTGCATCGAATGCCGGATGAGAGCGTGAGCACTCAAAACCATAGAGATCGAGTGTTGAGGCTTGTGAAGAGCATGAACCCGAAAGTTGTAACCCTAGTCGAGCAAGAATCTAACACAAACACAGCTCCGTTTTACCCTCGGTTTCTCGAGGCTCTCGAGTATTACCATGCAATGTTCGAGTCTATCGACATCACTCTTCCACGGCAACACAAGAAACGAATAAACGTCGAACAGCATTGTCTGGCTCGAGACGTGGTAAACATAATAGCGTGCGAGGGGAACGAGAGGGTCGAACGCCACGAGCTTCTGGGGAAGTGGAAGTTACGGTTCAGTATGGCGGGGTTTAGCCCGAGCCCGATGAGTCCAGTGGTGAACGGAACGATCAAAAGGCTGCTAAACAACTATAGTGAGAGATACAGGGTTGAAGAAAGAGATGGAGCCCTGTATCTTGGGTGGATGAACAGAGATTTGGTTGCTTCTTGTGCTTGGAAGTGATCAAATGTCTCAGCTTTTTAGCTTTCTGCTAAGTTAGAACATAATGTAACCTAAACAAGCTGTGTATGAATCAACGAATCATAAATCCACCTTTCATTCAGGTCCCCTGTTAAGCACCTGCCTTCATTAAGGTACCTGAGCTGTTCAGTTAAGTTGGGTTAGTAAAAATGTTGTGTATGGCGACAAAACAAGAGTCTAAGTCCAAGGGCACAGCCTTATTTATGGTGTTTCGCAATAGCACTACATTGTAAGGAAAGTAAAAGTGTTGACCACAAAAAGGTCAACATCAAGATGTGTTAAGCTTCTTGGGGACTTGAATGTTTTTTGACTGGTTTCTGAAGCCGGACGGTGCCGTCCAAATTGGTCAATACCACCCACCTGTTTTAAGCCAAACAAGAAATCTCAAATCTTTTCTGGGTTTTAATTCAGGGGCAAGTCTTTTGTAGATATAGAGGTTCACTGCGATGAGTTCAGGCCATTCTTGATCGTTATGAATCAGTCGGTATATCGGTATAAGAAACGAAAGAAATTAAGCCGGGTGAATTGTGGTGTGCTAACCATTAAGACATGAAAACCCTCGTCAAAACATCTCTGGATAATTGTGCTTTTTTATGAGAGTATAAAATCTGAAGCAATTAGTCGGTACACGTAAACTATAGGGTTATCCAACAAAAATGCGATACACCTTTGTAGGGTTGTAAACGAGCAGAACGAACACGAAAGGAGGCTTGTTTATGTTCGTTCGTTTAACTTAACCGAACAAACGAATGAACACGAAAGGTAAACGAACAAAAATCTTTGTCTTCTTGTCGTTTGTTTAGAAATCAGGTGTTTTCGTGTTCGTTTATGTTCGTTCGTTAACATGTTAAACGAACATAAACGAACGGGCTAAACAAACATAAACGAACGGGTTAAACAAACATAAACAAACGGGCTAAACGAACATTACATAAATATTATTTGAATTCAAAGTAAATAAACAAATGATTATATATTAAATTTAGTATATAAACGAACGTAAACAAACAAATATAAACGAATGGTAAATGAACGAATGTTCATGAACATAGATGAACGAACAAGACACTTGTTTATGTTCGTTCGTTTAACTAAACGAACAAAAAAAATTGTTCATGTCCGTTCATTTATTAAATAAACGAACATAAACGAACTTCCCGCCAAACAGTTTGCTGCACGTTCAGTTCGTTTACAGTCTTACACCTCTATAAATGAAAATACAATCATATAATCACAAACATCAAATCAGAAATAGAAAACGAAATGATTTCAAAATTTTGGAAATGCATATTTTTCTTTGTTGCATATTAACCCCTTGGAGATGCTCTTAACATCGTCATCAGTCATCAATCTCTTCTTCAAGTAAAAATGATCCCAAATAACCTTCATATACTTAAACGAGTGTTTCTCCAAGCAAATTTCATGAATCAACGATGAATTATCTGAGAAACTCAGAAAGCGACACAAATTGGGAATGAAGTGGACAGCAATTCAAATTCATAAACCAATCAACAATCCGAAATCAAGCCCTAAATATGATAATCAGCTCTGCCATTACAAAATCACATCTTCGGTATCTCTAGCAATAATCAGTGAAATATAAATCGTAAACGGTCATTGAAGAAAGTCGAACATTGTTACTTATTACGGAGAATTTACTGAATTTCGTATACGAGCCGAAATCAATCAATAAACAAAACAAAAAGGTAAAGCAGTAACATCGTGAATTTTAAACCACATAAAATCTTAACATACCTTTTTGGCTGAATTGATATTGGCGAGCCTTGATCGTTGACAGCGAAACAGAGAATTTACTCCGTCGAGCTTCGTCAGAATTCTCACGCGAAGATTGTTTGGTTGAATTTAATTAACTAAACGACGTAAAATTGGGGAACGCATAGGGTTGTTGGTGGAATGCATAGAAGAATCTGGTAACATAAAATAGAACTAATACGTTTACATTTGTGAAATAACCGGTGGGTTGTTTACCTTGTAGCATGATAAGGGGCTCTTACTTGGTAAACGCTTACTCTTACTCGAGTAAGCGTTTACCAAGTCACATTACTTTACCGGATGAGTATAGTAACGACCAAGAATTTTACCCGGTAAGAAGAACACAAGAACCAAGAGTTTTACTAAGTAAGTGAGAGCAACGACTTTTTCCATGGTAAGCGCTTACATGGTAAATTGTTCCATACGATGCCGTTTTGGTGGACTAAAATTTTACCCGGTAAGTAAGTGGTACTGTTAAATTTTACCGGTAAATGCTTACCGGGTAACTGTTTGGTAAACGACCCCTAAGTTTACTGGTCTAGACAACTTATTTGTTCATTCAGAATTGTTTCTATACAGCTTAATTATCAAGCCAAAATGGCTATATTGAATAAGTCATATGACCCTTCAGTTGTTTCCGTTAACACATCTCAAACAAAATTAAATATGTCATTAGATCTTAATAGAAAAAAAATTGGTTTAGAATTATTTGTATTAGAGTATGGTTCAAAGTGGATAAGATCATACTTTTCATTAAGTCATTAATAGCTCTAGTATTTTGTAGTGCAAATGATATAGGTAGCTCCTTGTCCTTCTTAAAAATGGATCGATACGTTGTTTTCAGTTTACCATTTATCTGGATTCTATTCAAGGTATGAAGAGCCATCGCTTCGCATAATGCTTCATCGCCTTCTATTTCATTTCTTAGATGCTTTCCTATGTTTTTATGATGAATTTAAGGTGTTTGAAAGGTATTCTTACTACAAATGAGATGGCATCAGGTCAAATCGTTAACTTGGGAGTTCAAAAGTCAAATAATAATGCTACTACAACATTACAGAAAGATGTGTCTTTTAATAATGGGGGTTACTTAAGATTACCATCATTGGTCAGTGAGAACAAGCAAACTATTTTATGTCTACTTAAAGGATTGGCTCTGCCTGTTTAATAGTTCTAATCTCGATTTAGGGATTTTATTGCATTCTTTCAGTCTGAATAATTTGAAATGCAATTTCTATCTTTTATTCCTCTTAAACTATATTTTGGTTGTAAATATTTTATAGATGAATTTTAGAATTTAGAAGTTAAATAATTAACATATATGGGGATATCTATATTTTTAGGGTTGACCAATCATAGGTTTGTTTAAGTTTATATCTTAGCAATAAAAAATTAGTAGTATATCTTATTAGTTGTAAATTATTTATATTGTGTCAGATATCGTGCCAAGTATGGATCTTTGTACTTCTTTCAGCAACACTTTATTCGATTTTATTTGTTCAATTGTGACATTTGTTGTGAATTATGTCTCAATTGCTTTTTTGGTTGATAATTGCAATTTCGATCATCAAAATATTCTTGTATAAATCTTTGGTGGTGTTCAAAACTTTGATATTTGAGATCTTAACTTCGATTTGAGTTATTAGCCTTATTTTATTTGAAAAATACGTTTTTGATTTCCTGATTTAATAAGATCTTGATGTATTGAAGTTGGTTTTATATTCGTCCACGCATACATAGAACCTTTTGGTTAGATAAGTTTGGAGAATAAGAATACCAAGTTAACCACCTGTAGGGTACTCCAAGCAATGTCATTGTGACGTCAGTGGCGTGACACGACCAGTGGCAATGTGATTAGTGCACGACGTTTCTTTCCAATTTTTGTGTGCTCTAAAGGAGGCGTATGAATCGGCCCCAAGACTTTGGAGTTTTGTTATCAGTGTACAATATAATGTCATACATGCAACTAATTTTGGATACACTTAGAATTACGAATCCATTGCATCATGATTTGTTTGAATATCTCATGTTATGATTTTGCTCCGTACAGGAAGCTCGATATCTATAAATTAACCCCTTGTTCTTGCTTGAATTTCTTTGGTGGTGATTTTGTATGAGGGAATTTTTAAAACTTTAACTTCCATCTCATTAATTACATTATGTTTTACTTATTTTGTAATCATAATCTGTATCGGACATTTGGCTCACCCAATGTTTTTCTTTTCTTCTGACAGGTATCTAGCTATGGGGAAATCAAGAGCATTATGAAATTATGAATGTTTGTTTGAGATTCGACTTTTATCTTTGGAGATTGGAGGTTAAATTTGTGTTGAAATAAGTATTTGATGTAATTATAGATTTTTTAATGATTCATTATGTTGTTTGAAAATCCCTTTTTCGCTGTAGATTAGGGATGTTGCAATTATGGTATCAAAACTTATGTTCGACTCTGTAGATTTCCATTAGGTTTAACCTAAGTTACGAGTAGAAAGAGCTAGAAATTGTTCAAGTTGGGAGACGTTTACCAATTTTTTTGGTTAAGTGTTGATTCAGGTAAGAGGTTCGAATAGAGTAAGTGCAGATTGTATTTTTTTTGTTTATCATATATATTATATTAAGTTTACCAATCTTTCTAGAGTAAGTTTTGATTGAAAATTATTGTTTATCATATATATTATATTAAGTGCTAACATAAAATGTTATTTATCAAATTATATTTAAGCCCAATTATATTTGGATAAGATAAAAAAAGCACAAGCCCATATTAACCCATATACATTTTAGCCCCAATTATATTTCTCAAAAACTTGAATCGGGGAACTTGAATCGGACATGGCCACCCTTGATTCAAAAACCATAGTTCTCTTTGCCCAAGACCCTAGTTCCCCTGATTCACTCTGCCACCCCGACCCACAGAAATGGTCGTCGCTCACCCTCTCGTCACCGTCCAACAACTTGTATCGGACATGGCCACCGCTGGCGTTCCTCTTCCCCACCTATTTTTCTTTGCCCAAAACCCTAGTTCCTCTGATTATCTCTGCCACCCCCAACCCAAAGAAATGGTCTGTCACTCGCCCTCTCGTTGCCATCCAACACCTTGAATCGAGCATGTTCACCAACGCTGCCGACGTTCCTCTTCCCCACATCATGAAATAAGGAATACATCCCTCATCCCCACCGATTTAGGGTTTTAGATGGAGAGAGTAGATAATGAATACATCCCCTTACCACGATAAGATTTATTTTTTTTGTTGACTCCAATAAAAAGACAGTCAAAGGCAGAAAATCTGATTGCTGATTTTGCTGTTGGGGAAACACTTTTACTTCTTACCTGGGTAAGCATCTCTTAACAGATAATTTAAAATAACTTGTATAATCAAGAAAAAAATCACCGTTTTCTCCTTAAAATAGAGATGTCATATTCCCTAACAAGGTTGGGGATAAGGCAGGGATGCAGAATGAGGTCCCCATCCCATTCAAATGCCTAATTCTCACCCAAGCTATTCAAATAACTTTGCAACAATCTAACAGTAGCCAACATCAAATCCAATTCACAAGGCAACTAATCTAGTAAGAACAAAACAAACAATATCTAATACAATTATTTTGGTATGCCGCATTCGATCAAGTTGATAGCTTTTTGTTCTGCGTTAATTATTGCAAAGTTGCATATCCTTGTCGGTGTAATGCTTTGAACGTGCTTTCTAAATAAGTTAGTCAAGTCTCACTTCGGATTTTGACGCAAGTTCTGCTATTTGTGCATTATGTCATTAAGTCTTTCAATCAATAAAAACCAATCAAAGATTCATTCTTTGACCATAAAATTTGTAAACACATCGCATTGTGTATTTATTACATCCAGACAGCCGTAAGATCAAAACCTAATACCAACAATCCCCATTTTTAAATCGATTATTTAGCAATCTGCATACCAAATAACCCATATGCTATCAGGATTAGGGCAATCAGTGTCCTGATGTGTATATGTAATTAAAATTAATCAAAACAATAGTTGCAAATCGTTCAATTACTTTGATCCACATCAAAACGGATGTAAAAACAGACATGCAAATGGCCTCAGAATTGCAGAATTGATCAACAAAGCCTTTGTAAAAGGCATTCAGTCCCGAAAGATGGTGTTCTTTTATACAGATTTCATCACTGGCCAACTTCAATTAAATAATGCAAATGATTTTTTGTTAAAATGTTTTTCTCACGGCCAATCCCAAGAGGTAATTGCAGAGACTCCGCTCCCCAAGGCGATAGGATGTGACAACGCCTTCTCCTTTTAACGGGAACCGCCAATGAAGAGCGGCTCAACCGCTGTGATCAAGGAGACGGCTCAATTTGCGACTGATTTACATTGAGTTTTACGAATATCAACTAGTTCGCCCCAAATGTTCGTAAATCGTCGATTCAAAACATACAATCTTTAGACTTGTAAAAAAGAAATTGTCTTACCTTGGTGAATCGCCGGCGATGAGAGAAGTCTATCTGAGATCCTGAGGATTGTGAAATTGTGATAACCAAGATTTGAGGGAAGAGGATGATGATGGTAGGCGGGGGGTTAGGGTTTATGTGTTGAAGTAGTAGAGGATGAAGCCCTATTATAGGGGAGAGGGGTGGAGAGCTGGCGATGGTGATGAATTGTGAACCGTCGGATGATGGTAAGATGAGATGATCTATTCTCAATAAAACCCTAGGGGAAGTACATGCCGTTTGCTGAGTAGCATGTGTGATAAACGAGATGGGGATCCTGACAAAACTAACCCATTATATTTTTAAAAATACATTTTTAACCCTACACTATAAATTTTCTAAAAATAACTACAGGTTACCATCTACGCACCAGTCCGTGCGTAGAAGGATCAATTTGCAAAAACAAAAAAATAGTGACTTGACCATTGACTAAACTGAGCCGACCTTAGCCTGACCCCCCTCTTACGCACCGGTCGGTGCGTTATGCATAAGGGGCCCACCTGGCACAATCAACATCCACCATTGAAGCATCCGATTGAAGCTAATCTTCCATGGTTGGTGACAAGGTTCCTCATTGATCAAGAAGAACCCTAACAAGATGTCATCATTTGTCCCCATTAATTGTTGATCTTGAAACATAAGGGGGAGGGGGAGGGGGAGGGGGAACTTTGGTTACAGGTTTTTGTTACAGTAAAATAAGAATTAAAAGTGAGATAGAAAAGGGGTGTGTGTATGTGTTTGAGAAAGGCCAAGCGTTGTTGTGAAATTATATAGTGTGCTTTTCAAATTGATATTAAAGCGATGGTTGCATAATCGAATCTAGAACCTTAATTTGAACGATAAGGAACGGCTCATTCGACATTACATCCCGCCCCGAAGAGTTGATTGCCGCCGCTAATCCTTCGTTCACTAACGGTGTAGCCACCAAAGACATCCACATAGAGACTTCTACCTCCCTTGCCCTCTGTATCTTCCTCCCTGAAACGTGTCTTGTCTCCACGGATCCCCGTTCTAAAGCTAGGGTTACGACTAAGTGACACGGATCTCAAAGGGACTCAACTCCAACCAACTCGAGTTGTGGTATTCCCCGGTGAAACACCCATAATTTTACCATGAGAAAATATTACGTAATCTAAAATAAATTTTCCAAAGACACTCCAAAATGATGGCTAAATTAAAACTTTCGACCTCTTACAGCGGAATAATTTAAAAGAATAAATATATGCACCTTTGTTGTGTACTATGATGGTGCGACAAGAGACTTTGACGCAATTTTACACACAACATTTACAAATCAGTGTTAGAGGGTAGGCATGCCAGGCGTGGTCGGAACAAAATAACTTATATATTTATTATAAAGCAAAAATTAATGAAAATGTTTGTAGAAAAAAGAGAACTTCCAAGTTTCAGTTACTGAAATGAAAACAAGTCCAAGGTGTTTGTTTTTTTTAAAGCTCTTATTTTACCACTTGTGTCTAATTCGACCAGACATAAGACAAATCAGACCATTTGTTTTTCTTTTATTTTCAGAGCCTTTTATCCCTTATTGTCTTCTGAAAAAATTAGTGATAACCTAGCCCTTTATCTGCCTCTTAATCCTAAAGACTATCCAGATGACCGACTTCAACCTAATCTATTGCCTTGTTCAATCTAATCAATCTATCGCCTTGCTCCACGAAATTGGTCATTGATCTCTACTCCATCATTCGATCGACTTCACCCTCTCAATCAATCTCCTCACCATCTCAATCGATCGATTTCACCCTCTCAATCAGTATGTGCTTCATCAGTCGACCGACTTCACCATCTCAATTGATCTTTGTTTCATCAATAAGCTAAATAACAATTAAGATTTGAGAGGAGGAGAAATAAGAACCAAGGGCATGTTCATCCTCCTCGATATTGCCTCTGTGATTGTTCAGATTTCAATCCCGATTTCAAAACAATATGTTTGTTTGACAAAGAAATCTTGATGTGGGCTTCCCTGGTTCATAATTAAAATTGGAATGATGAATATATGTTGTAGTGAGAGAGAGATGGAGAGAAAGAAAGAGGGGAAAAGATAGAAAGAAAGATAAAATGAAATTTGGGTGTTTGATATGATCCTATATATATATATATATATATATATATATATATATATATACATATATATAGAGGAGCGTTCAAATGCGAACCCTCTCCGTTTGTGTAAACCGTGTGAACCAATCTCAACCATCCATTTTCTTGATCAATGGTCAAGATTTGTAGGCTTTATTTATGGAAATTAAAAATAAAATAAAAATAAAAATTCAATTTATTTAATCAATAAGGGTATAATGGTAAACATAATTAACAATTCCTAAGCTCCTAATCGCAATCTGTCATCAGAATCCCGTCTTCATCGCTTACATTCCCAAATCACTGCAAGGGTATCACTTCTTCCCAATCGAATATAGTGTTTCCAAAATCATCGATCATCAGCATATTCAAGAAAAATGGTCGGCAATAATGGAGGTATGTTATATTAATTCATATCACTTCATGATGAATGTATTTCATTAACTTTTTTTTTTTTGAATTTTTTTCATTACATATTTCACATGAAACTATTTCGTTATATATTTCACTTCAATCTATCTCATTATACACCCGTTTCATTATACGTATATTTCAAAAAGAACAAAATCCAATATGCACTCGATTCATGACCATTCTAACAACAGAGCGGTTCAACTTCTGATACAATGCATCATGTATCACGATGAAAGTAGTGCATTAAACTAGCTATATTTTCTTAACTTTTCACATGAATCTATTTCATTAACTGTTTCACCTCAATCTATTTCATTAACTCTTTTAAATGCATCTACTCCATAATGCACCCATTTCGTGATACGTTRATTTCAAAAGTAACAAAWMRATTWAYRMAACAGTATCATGACTATTATAACAACTAAACGCAACAACTTCATATACATTTTTTCATGGATCTCAATGAAAGTAGTTCATTAGATTTCGAGTTTGTTAAAACAATGAAAACGTTTCGCTATCATGAATCGATTTCATTAATTATTATCCAACGAAATCTTTTCACCTTCTCCATTAAAAAAAATTGCACACGCACTGTTATTGCGATACATGAACTATCATGAATCTATTGCATACACCTTCATATTTTTAATTGTACAAGATACCAGAATCCTCATTCCATTGCAATTTCTTAAAATTAAAGATTTTAATAATATATTACAATTATTGCTTTAAACATTACCATGTTTCATACTTTCTCCTAATAAATTTGCCTTAAATAAAATATATTACTAAMTTCTTTAATTATCAAATTTTTTTGTAAAATGACATAAATAACCTTATCAATTAAATTTAATTAAAAATAAATGGAATTATCTTATTGGTCAAACTTGGTTCACACGGTTCGTAAGAATTGGACGGTTCGCATTTGAACCTGCCTCTATATATATATATATATATATATATATATATATACATATCGTATTAATTGAGGCATGTTATTCGGCTCTTATTTTGATTCATACTTCAGATATTTGTCAGTTTACAAAAACAAACAATCTCATTGATTCAGATTTCAGACTTCAGCGTCACCTCTTATAAATCAAAAGTGAAATCAAACTTCAACACCTCTTAAAAAACAAACGTCACCCAAACTTTGATGGCATAGAATGTTATGTTTCCCGAGATCATTGATATATCGTTGTTGGGAGGCTGGTCTCATTACCTCATACAATTTTAACACAAAATGCGGGAGCGGGACAAACTATTTCCTTATGATTGAGAGGAACCTAACCAGTGGACAGTGGTAGCAATATGCTGCCATTTGTGGGAATATTAATCGCATTCTACCATACCATACTTGTTTGGAATATTACCTTAATAAACTATTGAAAACAACGTCAATTTCTATTTAACACCAACTATTCATTTTGAAAAATGTTTTGGTAAACATTATTTTCATGATCTAAATTCGAGAGGTGTCCCAATTACCAGTGTTGCTATGAAGTAAAAATATGATGTTTCCTTGTATCAATTATCACGTTTGAAAAGATCTTTCTTATTTATTTGCATCCAGTTTGTTTACGTTGTCTTGTTTTTGTTCCTTATGTTTTTTTTTGTAAGTTCATATCATTTAGTTGTCATAGGAATGTATTATTTGTTTTCCTTTTTTAGTAGGAGATTGTTTCATATCTGTTACTGCAATTTATATTTGAGCAAAAAGTTGAATATCAGCAACACCAACCGTCCTCACACGGTACCTACCCTTAAAATCACATGTCAGGAGGCAATGTAGAGTTTATTCAATGATTGAGATTAGCAGAGGAGTTCAAATCCGTCTCCTACAAGATATGAACTTGAACATGTTATGCATTTGAATAAAATCACACTGCTCCTTTTCTAACTGTCTAGTACCTGAGGGATTTACTTTTACACAGAAGGCTGATTATACTACAAGTTACATTTCAAATATGTTGTAAATATGATTTTTTTTTCGTTTTTATTATAATATATCTGTCTCACGTTTCCATGGACGGACCTATGTATGTGGTATGGGTGGCACGTGCCACCATATTATTTCTCTGTCGAAAGGTAAAAAAAAATTATGTTTCGTAAACAGTGAAACCGTATTAATTTGTTGTGTGTCACCGTATGTATTTTGAAACTACAATGAGAATAAGTTTTATTTGGTAGAGTTGGTTTGCAAAGCTTTTATTCCACGCCACACCCAAGTTCGAATCATGTTAGTGTCATTTTCTTAGTCAAATGATGCTATCATTTGAAAAAAAAAATATTTTTTTTCTTATGGTTAAATGATGTCACCGTTTAAAAAAAAATCTGGGTCCGGCCCTGCACGTTTATGAATTAAAACAAGAAATAAATACTTTTTAAAATATTTATCTTATAATTTTTAATTGTGAACATAAACTCATCAAGACAGTTTGGCCGAGTGGTCTAAGGCGCCAGATTTAGGCTCTGGTCCGAAAGGGCGTGGGTTCAAATCCCACAGCTGTCAATTTTTTCGTCTTCATTTTTTCATAATTAAAATTAAATAAATAAATGTGGCTGAAAAATATGCGAACGCCACCGACTCCAAGCATCAAAGGGATCAGAAGCAAGCAATCATTCTTCCCCAATTTTTGCCATATCGCCGCCCTCCACCGCCGTATACGAAACCGTGTTCTTCTTTTTCCGATCTTCAGATTCCAAAGACCTATCTCTTTCGATCTCTGATTGTACAGATTTCGACAGGAAGAACCCTAACTTTTTACTGATCGTTTATTAGCCCTAATTTCTACAAGTCTCCGAACCCCAAAATATGTTGCTATCACCAGGGCACTCACCCCGCCGGCTCTCTTCTCCGTCACCTTCGGTGTCAGAAACACCGGTTCATCAAAACCTTGGATCATCCAATTCCTTAGTCACCACAACTCCCAAAAACCCTAGAAAACGTTCTTCTTCTACCGTCCTTGACGAGGACGCGTACGTTGCTGCGATCGAGAAGATCATAGAGCGCGATTTCTTCCCTGACATCCCTAAGCTTCGTGACCGACTCGATTGGCTGGAAGCTACTCGCACCGGTGATCCTATGCTAATACGTGATGCGCAGTTGAAGATTATTGAGAGGCGATCTGGGAAAGCATCGGTTACCGATACGGAAGGTAAAATTCGGACACCTGGTTCAACTTTTTTTAGAAATACTACGCCCTTGGAGTTTGATAAGACTCCTGGTACCGATAGTTTTGTGAAGGAGGAGGTCTTGAATGTGGCTAAGGAGTTAATTAAGGATGATGGATCTGTAGATGCTGATTCGTTAACGCTTGATGAGTTTTTTAGGAAGTATACCAGTGAAGATAACGATAGTTTTTCCAAACTTATTGAGAAGGTTAATAAAAAGAAGAGAGAACGGTATGAGTTCTTACTGGAAGGTGAGAAGCAGGATATGGGATTGATTGAAGATGCAAAACCGAGTAGGATTACGGATGGTTATGGGACTTCTGATCAGCCTTTAGCAACGTTAGAAGGCTGGAAGTATACTGCAAAGAATTTGTTGATGTATCATCCAGCTGATAGGGGCGAAGCACCGCTAACCCAAGAGGAATTGGCTGAGAGATTGAAAGGGATGACAAAGGAAATTAGCAAGACTAATACACGCTTCCATGGGAAAATGATGGATTCTAGGCCTAAAGAGGATGATGCCATATCGGTTCTCTACAACCCTGTTGCAGGTGGTACCCCAGTTCCATGGTCGATGTCAGATAGGGATGGAGACAAGTTGAAAAAGTATGATTTGGAAGATTTAAGAAAGACCCCGAATCCATTCTATGTTGAATCCAATAAGAAGGTGGATAACGGGTATAACTTTGTTAGGACTCCATCTCCTGCACCGGGTGTGGATGAATCCCCATTCATTACTTGGGGAGAAATCGAAGGGACGCCTCTGAGATTGGAGCCTGAAGATACACCAATTGACATTGGTGGTAGTGGTAATGGGCCTCAGTTCAATATCCCCCTTCCACCTTCAAGAGATCTCAAGGCTCATTCTTTATCAAGGGAGGCTGCTCGGAAACTGAGGGATAGGTCCAAGATGTTCCAGAAACCACCACTGCCGGCTACTGCTAGAGGAGGTAGTGCTAGTCCAGGTGCAAGAACCCTTTCTCCTGCTGCACAGAAATTCGTCAGAAATGCGATTGCCAAATCTTCTCACTCTGTCACTGTTGATGAATCACTGCGTGCAAGTTATCGTGGATCAAGTCCGGGGATAGCTACACCAAAATCTGGAAGGAGTATGTCAAGGTTAGGAAGAGATGGTAGCCTGAGTTCGAGATCTCCATCTGTAAGGGAGGGCTCTAATCCTCCTTGGTAATAACATGTATTTAACTTCACTACGGCCAATGATTTGATCTTTTGACAATGCCTTTGTTGTTGAACTACACAATTTTTAGTCTCATATGGTCCTCTACTTTCGCACAAGTATGATATATGGTTGTCTATCATACTTTCATCATAGGCATCTGTATTTGAATCTGCTTTTTTCTAATATGTGACTTGTTTAATTTGTTTCCTTCAGTTTCATTGCCTTCATTATTCTTTTTATTAATCCAGTATCATTTCGCTTGAATGTTTCCTTCACATCCCAGCTGACTTATCATCTTGATAATCAGCTTCCTCTTGGTTGCTGACATTTAGCTAGTTTTCAATTAAGTTGCATAAATTGCACTGGCATTTGGACTTTGGGTGACGGCAGGTTTATCTTGCACACTTGTCAAACACCAGCTTACTCTTTGAGGGTAGAGGTCAGTCTGCATACATCCCACCCGGTAACCCACCTCCGAGTGGGATATATTTGGCTTGATTGTTTTGGTTTGGTGAAGTCAAGTTTATGTGTTCTGCTTCTATCTCCATAGAAAACACGGTGGTCAATCGTGTTTAGATGTAAGAAATCTTGGTGTAGTTGATAAGCTACGCCAAGATTCACCAGATTTGTTGTAGTTCTTTTCTTTGGTTAGGTTTCAGACTGAATTCTTGTGTTTAGATGGTAGAAGTCTTGCAGAGCACATCTATCTGGAGCTGGCTCATTACGCATACCCCCTTCTTCGGAAAAGAGGTATATCTTTGGCTTCTATTCTTATTTGCAGTACACTTGCAGCATAAGGGATTCACATGGGTTCATTAATGGCAACTATTTCATGTGTGTGTCTTGATTTTCGTTCAATTTCCATTTTCACAGTTGAAGGAAACAGTTTGCTTCAATTATGATGAAAATGCGTTGGGGATAACATCCTTTTTCTTGCTTTTGCTTAAAGAAGGCTCATTTTCTCCTTGTTTATTCTACTCCCTGTGATGGTCACATTCCTAAAGGGGAGATGTATTCAAAGCCAAGTTTACTTTACAACCGACACACGATACTTGTGATAGAGGTCGATCTTGAATCAAGAGAGAAAAAGGGTCTTTGCAAATTAGGGTCGTTTTTAGTATGATTTGTCGAAGATGATATTTATTCGTCGTAAGCAGGTGGGACCACTTTTTGATGAACAACAAGAAGCATGAAAGTTCATTTAGTGTGTTCAAGTTGGATGTCACATGAGTTTTGCTTTCCTTGGATTCTCCCTTTTGACAACAAGATGTTGTCACGGGTCGTTACTGGTCTTGCATCGACATTGAGGGTAAATTTCGAACGACACCGAATTGGTTGGATCTCGATGACAGGGTCGGGTGGGTCGGAGAATCGATTTTGTATAATCACAATGTGGTTTAAAGGTTTCGTCTTTACAAAAATTCCAAAAATAACATGGAATATAAATCAAATGAATCCAGTAAAATATTTTAATAAGGTGTAACGTACACCGACCTTTCTAAAAATAGGATAAACGCAAACATATCTATTATTAGAGTTTACGTATTATAAAATGAATTTCCTTTTTTTTAGAAATTAGCATATAATAACCATTTATTTAATAAAACTCTTTTTATTAAACTCTTTTTATTTACGTTATTCATATCGTTCTTTATATTTATAGGCCTACATTGAAAAAGTGCGGAATTTAGATTTTACTTAAAACAGCTTCAAAAATTGAATAAAATATATTGTATTTCTTAAAAAAGATAGGTTTAGAGAAATAAATTGTTATATATATTCTTATGGTTTATAATTTACGTTGGAAGGTAGAAGTTAGCTTTAAAGATGAAAATACAAATGTATTATAAACTATGGGGACTAAAAACACCAATCTAGAAAACACAAGGACGAAGTTCGGAAACTTTATTAAATCATAGGGACCAAAAATGTAACTTGCTTTCTTTGATGTTATGCCCCGAACGACAGCGTATCATGATAAATACTAATATGCAGTTAATGCGCATATTCTTCTCGTGCACCTCTCTAGTTATCGTGTAGTTATCGTCATCACACACGCATCCCATTCCTATATATATAAGGCCACAATCCTCATCATACTTCTCCAATGCTCTTGCAATCTCCTCTGGGAACCCTAACACAATCGAAGATCCTGAAGAACTTCTAGTTGATTCTTTCTTATTTGAGGAATTATACAGGTATTTTGGTTGTTCTTTATGTTTTTTTTGTGTAATTGTGTTCCTAATTGGTTTTAATTATGCGCCTACTTTCAAAGACCTAAAGTTTGATTTGGTTTGAACATGTTACCGAATAATTTCAATCAGGGTTGAGAATTTTGATGGTTTAGTTGGATTTTAGGCTTAGTGCTCTTTGATGGAGTAGTAAATTAGGTTTGTCTAGACGATGATCATATAAAGTTATAATTCTTGGCCTCTTTCAGTAAGGATTATGCATGTTGAATATTCGCGTAAGGTGAAAATCACGTCATGCCTAAGAATTGTTGCTGAAGCAACGTAAAAAGGTTCAAGTATTGTTCAAGTGGAGTATATGAATATACACGCTGTAGATAATTTTTGTGACTTCGTGTTCGTATTTCAGCTATTAAACTTAATTATCAATAATTGCCGCTTAATTTATGGTATTAGATTAGATTGTTTATAAATAATATGAGCGCAAGTAGACCTGTTTAATCTCTTTAATCAGCTTTATAAGACCATGTTTCTATGACAAGCTTATGTCTGGTGAGAATTTACTCGTTGTGGCTTATATAAAGCTTTGGTTCCTAATTTTGTTCCACAGGTAATATTTGCTTTATATTTTTATCATGATGTCAAATTGGTTGAACCTTACAGTTAAATTGATTTACCTTTTTTGGTTAAATTTGGTTGATTTGTTTGCAATCTCAGGTTCAGGGAAAATTCTGTATAATGCCATCTGCTGATGCTGAGACATCTGAGCAAGACAGAGAACCATTTGTGGAGGTTGACCCATCAGGAAGATTTGGCAGGTACAGCGACCTGTTGGGCACTGGTGCTGTTAAGAAGGTCTATAGGGGATTTGACCAAGAAGAAGGCAGGGATGTGGCCTGGAACCAAGTAAAGCTAAGGAACTTCAGTGGAGACCCATCCGTCCTCAAGAGGTTGTTGTCGGAAATAGAACTGCTACAGACACTGGAGAACGAGAACATCATTGTTCTCTACAGTTTCTGGAGGGATACTGAAAACAGCACCTTGAATTTTATTACAGAGGCATGTGCCTCGGGTAATCTGAGGGATTACCGGAAGAAGCATAGGCGTGTCTCGCTCAAGGCCTTGAAGAATTGGTCAAGACAAATTCTGAGGGGATTGGAGTATCTCCATACTCATGAGCCGTGCATCATTCATAGGGATCTTAATTGCAGTAACATCTTCATAAATGGAAATATTGGAAAGGTACATATGTTTTCTTACTTCAAAATCTGTAACTTTTTATCATATTCTTAAGGTTTAGTTGCCCATCATCTATGTCATGTCATGTCATTGGAGTTTGTTTTCTGCTGGCATCTGATACATCTAAACTCCATGACCAAGCTTAATCAGTATTCATAATACAAGTATTAACATTAGAGGGTGATCTGGAATTAGTACTTGGATTCATAGGAGTTCCAAGCAGAGTTATAGACCCATTTGGGATTGATTCCATGACTTAATACTTTATGGAAGTTCAAAGCAAAATATAGATTCTTCCCAACGTAGTTCCATTGGCATAAGGTATCTGTAACTTCTTGTTAATTGCTGGCTGACATGAAGGATTGTGATAATTTAGCACACTGCCGGCTTCCTATTTGCTAAAAAAAATTGCGTGGAGACCGAAAGCATATTGACTTGCATGTTATCATCAAAAATAGAATTAAAAGAAAATATGAAAGTGAATAACAGACGGAATTGATTAGAAATAGACTAAAAGCATTGATTTACTGTCTTTCAACTTGCAACATTTTTATGAACTTGTAGCTTCAGACATTTCTTCTTTCCTTCTCTTTGGCTTGGCCAAGAAAGAAACTGTGTTATTAGAATTAAGGTTTACAGGATTACAAATATCATGAAAAGGAATGAAACCTGAGATTTTAATTATTCAACCACCATTGATATGAGACACGCGGAGGTAGACATACATCCAACTGTGCCATGTGGTTATTAAACCTTTAAGACAGATGCAGAGTGATGCATCATGGAAGCCTGGAAGTGAAACCAAATTCCTGACGGAGTTTGAACACAAAATCAGGAATTGCTTTTGCTTGGTTCACTATGGGTGTGTTTGGTACGCAGGACGGAACAGGAAATAACAAAAACTTGTCTCATGTTTGGTGCAACATTAGAGTGGGATAGGACAGGACCGAGTGAGACAAAATGCATTTTTTGTCCCACCAGAATAGGTGGAACAAAAATCATGGAGATGGGACAAAGTTAGTAAATTACAAATGTACTAAACTACCCATGTCAAATTTAAATCCTAAAACATTCCGTAATTCTTTCACCACCCTATGTCATTGAGTCATGTCCCATCCATGTACCAAACACACCCTATTTGTCTTGTAGAATCCTGACACCGAGTAAAGAATGAAGATTCAAGTGGTCTAGATTTTAGATTCATAAAGCTGCATACTAAGTGCTACATGTTTACCGACTTTCAGGTTAAGATCGGTGACTTGGGTTTAGCAGCAGTAGTAGGGAAGAACCATGCTGCTCACACGTTACTAGGAACACCAGAATATATGGCTCCAGAGCTGTATGAGGAGGATTACAATGAGTTGGTGGACATATACTCATTTGGAATGTGTTTGCTTGAAATGGCGACAATGGAAATACCGTATAGCGAGTGCGACAGTATTGCTAAAATATACAGGAAGGTTACAGGTGGTGTGATGCCTCAAGCGTTCACCAAAGTAAGCGATCCGGAAGTAAAAGCATTCATCGAAAGATGCATTGGGAAACCACGAGAAAGGCCTTCTGCCTCCGATCTTCTCAAGGACCCATTTCTTATCCACAGTGAGGAGAGCGATGGTAGTTCTTAAGCACGCGACTCGTTCATGCGCTTTTTCTGTCGGATCTTGTGTATATATTAATATCGTATTCTTTGATTTTGAGTTTGCATTCAGTTTAGTTGTTTTTACATGTTGATGTAGAGAAAAAGGGTTTCAAATAGTTTGAAGTTGAGTGATGAATGTAATTGGGCTTGTTTTCATTCCATTTTCAAGACCTCTTCTTATATAATACCTCTTTGCAAAATTTCAACCTTCAAATCAATGGGTTTAATTAATAGGATGCCGAAACACCAAAGACTTAAATATCGGTAAATGTAAAACAAGTTATAAATTAAACAAATCCAGTATATTTCATCTGAATATGGAAAGATAAAATGTACACAAATCATGTATTTTTGAAGCATTTGGACCCCGTCGTTTAGGGGCTTCGCCTTTAAATCAAAATAAACTCAAACAAGTGTGCACTCTGCACCTTTCTTACTTGTTCAATATTTATCATAATTACATTGGTTAACAAATTAATCTTATTACACTTAAATGATATTAGTAATACAAATCATCTAACATAAAATATGTTGAAAAAGTTAAAAATGGTAAAAACATGGATGGATAAAATAAGAAAGGGTTTGTGGGGATTGAGAAGAGAATTAAGGATTAAAAAATGGAGGATTTTAAGAGCCGTGCCGTCCTGGTTGTTAACTTACACTACAAACCATACAAAGACTTCATCCTCACTTCATCTAACATTCTTTCACTTTTTCTAAGCACCCTATTTTAGGTATTATATATATATATATATATATATATAACTCGTTCAATAGATCTATAGACATACATGTGTAACAGTGTCGTCTTTCTTAAGCCCCAAAAATACGAACATATTAACCAATTGGAAGATTTCTTTTTACTTGCTTGACAAAAACGAAATAATTTACATATAAAATCAAATCAGACGAAACCAGTGAATCTCATATAAAGTTTGAAGACGGGATGGTAGAGGCATGTATACCTTACATTTGGCACGAGGGGTGTTATGGTCATTCGTATTAAAAAATAAAACAAGTTGGAGGGGTTTGTAGGTGAATGAGGACACAGAAAATGTAGAGATTGTCAAAGAAGTCACATGTAGGAAGGGTTGCACCCTTATTCTACTGTCCAAGGCTTTGATAGCAATTTTCAACCTTCCCCACTGCATTCAAGAAACCAACTTTGAAACCTTAAAAAATTACCATTTCCTTCACTACACACACTCGTGTGCATCCAACTTTGACCAACACTATGCTTCTACATCTGTAACCCTCCATTCAATCATCTAACGGCTAATTATCATTTGAAAAAATCATCTGGTTTTCTGGATTCTAGAACTACTAACACTGTACTGTTTTCATTATTCTAATCTCAGGAAATCCGGATCAAGCAATTATATCCATGAAAAGACTCAAAAATTATGGTTAAATTCTCAGTTTGTTTGTAAGATTTGCAGAATCTCAATCTTCTTGTTTCTTTTAGCACCAAATGGATGGTTCTGGCTCTGTTTCTGGTTATGGTTCTTGTTCTGGTTCTGCACCAAAAGATAATGCTTCTATGCTTTCAAGTCCTTTTTCTTCTCCAAATGTCAGTGCCCTGCTCAAGATCAAGATCATTTCATGGTAATTGATCAAATTATGCAAAAATATTCAATCTTTTTGAATCTTTCATTGTTTTTACTGAATCTTGCTTTGAATTCAATCATACCCTTTCATATTTCGCTTTCTTTTTGGTTATATCTGGTGCAGGAGTCAAGAAACAGGCTTGCCGGCCTCGGTTTGTGTCCATGTTGCTGATAGAGTTTTCAATCTTCACAAGGTAAGTTTGATTAAGAAAGAGCAATAGTATGAAGTTGTAATTGGTTCTAACTTGTGAATTTTCTCTGATTCGTTCTCTTTTTACAGTATCCTTTGTTTTCGAAAAGTGGGTTCTTTATGAGAAAACTAAGTGAATCGAATGAAATTGAGCTACCACAAGATTTCCCCGGAGGACCCGAGACTTTTGAGATGATCTCGCTCTTTATCTATGGCTCTTCCACCTTAGTCGACCCTTTCAACGTTGCAGCTCTGAGATGCGCAGCCGAATTTCTGGAAATGACAGAAGAATATGGCTCGGGAAACCTCTGTGAGCGTTTCGACATATACTTGAACCAAGTTGTGTTACAGAGCTGGGAGGACACACTCATCGTCCTCCAGCAAAGCCGGTCGCTGGTCCCGTGGGCTGAAGAGCTCTTAATCGTGAGCCGCTGCATTGAATCTCTAGCCTTCATGGCTTGTATGGAGATTCTTGATCCAGAAAGAAGAAGAGACCAGCCTGTTATAACTCTAGAAACTCTAAGCACTCACAGATGGAGCTCTGAAATGGTTCAAGAAATCGTGAGCCAAGATGTGTGGATCAGAGACCTAATAGCTCTCCCATTTGGGTTCTTCAAACGGGTAATCGGGTCTTTAAGAAGACAAGGTATGAAAGAAAAGTTTGTTAGCCCGGTTGTGTTGTTCTACGCGAATTGGGTCCTTTCTGATAGAAATGGCAGCCAGAAAGATTTAGCTGTGTTACTAACAGGTGTTCTTGATTTACTTCAAATGGGAGAAAAGGGTAGTAGAGTCATTCCAGTTGGATTCTACTTCATTTTGCTCTCTAGATCACTAAAACTCAGTTTAGATAGAGAATGTACTCTAAAGTTGCAAAACCAGATTTCAGGAGTGTTGCATATGGCTCAGGTTGAAGATTTTCTTCTCCCAGAAAGTGGGATAGATGACATTCCTAGTAACATTAAGGTTACCACAATGGAAACCATCTTTTCGACCTATGTTTTGTTTAATATGTCTGCAAACAACGGCAGTCCTTCGCCTTATCATTCAGCTGTTGCAGAATTATGGGACTCGTATCTCACCCATATAGCCACTGATCCAGAAATGGGATTAAAAAGATTCATGGAACTCATTGAAATCGTGCCAACGCCAAGTAGGCAAAACCATGATCATCTTTATAGAGCATTGAACGTTTTTCTACAGGTACATTTTCTTTATTTCTGGTATCATAATCATATGCAAAAATGCAGCTTTCTTTCTAGAAAATCTTGAAAATGCTTATCAAGACTTGTTTGGCAGATGCACCCAGAATTGTCACAAGACGAAAAGAGTACAGTATGCAAATACCTAAACTGTCAGAAACTATCGCACGAGGTCTGTGTAGAAGCAGTCCAAAACGAACTGATGCCACTAAGGTTAATAGTTCAGGCACTTTTCGTTCAACAGCTAAGCACACACAAAGCATTGAAAGAATGTTCAGATTCTTTCAGATATGCACAGTGCGGAGACTTTTCAGGGAGTCTTCCAAGCTCCAGATATGCAAATTCTAGAAGCCAGAATCTGGTGGACAGTCCATGTGTTGATCTAGAAGACACAAGAAACAGGCCACTCAGTTTCTTGCTACAGACAGATTTAGTATCCCAGAAACCCGAGTTGTCCAGTAAAGATTACGAGTCTACAAGCTTCAGAATTCAAACACTCGAACAACAACTGATGACCCTGAAAAGAAGTCTTCAATTACAAAACACATCCAAGAAAAGAGAGCAAGTTTCCAAGAAAGTAGAGCCAGTGAGACCATATGGGCTAGAGGGAAGAACGATGAGCAAGAAAAGAACCCCTCTTGGACAAGTGACTAGCTGCATAGGAACTGTGAATTTTGCTTCACAAAGGAAGTATGCTAGTAGATTACTGAAGGTGTTTAGGAGATTTAGTTTGTTTGGTAGAACAAAACCGAAGAGAAAACCAAGTGTAACTGGCCTACACCCAAAATCACTGTAAAATGTTTTACAATAAGCTTTTTAGCAATCTTTGCTTCTATAAAATGAAATACTCAGCCAAATGTAAAGAAATCAAACCAAGAACATAGTTCTTCACTTGTTATATATACGTAAGAAAACCGTAACATAGTTACAATACATCAACCAACATTGGAATTTGGAAATCAAATGCTTTCTAAAACTAGAGAGATGCATAAAACCAAAGAACAAACATTGAGTTGTAACAACTAGTGGATGTTATTAAGTTACAGTTGTTAAGATTGCTTCTTGATCAGGTTCAGCCTGAAACTTATGAGATTCATCTAGCACCAGTGTAGCAGCTTTGATCACTCTCTGTCCATTAACATAATGCTGACGGCAAACAGGCATATACACATCTGCACCACCTATAAGTTCGGTTTTTGTCTCGTTGGTCTTCCTTAAGGTGAAATGGGCTCGTTTGCCACATAGTTCACATCGAGCTGTTAATTTGGTTATGGTATCCGCAAGGGGTACTAGATCAAGAACTGGACCAAAATTCCTTCTGCCAAATGGAAGTATTAGTAAAGACTAAATAGAAGTGATTGCACAAATCATGATGACAAAAAGATGATTAAACCAAAGCACCTTAAGTAATCACCATCAAGGCCAGCAACTATAACTGTTTTTCCATCATGGTCAGCAGCTTTGCAACAAAAGTCATAGAGATCATCAAAGAATTGGGCCTCATCTATGCCAATAACATCCAGCTGCCAAACATACAAGACTAATACAAATCAATAAAAACTTATTTTAACATGATATGGTCAAACATATTTGTATTATTATAACCCCAAAACAAGGAAGGTTCATCAATATAAGATTGGTATTCAAGCAAGATTCCCTTAAATTATGGGATCTGTATTATATGTTTAAAATTTTGAAAAGTATGCTACTAACAGTCTTGTGCTAGTTTAAAAACCCTAAAAGAAATTGATGACATGTACTCCCAAAGGCCATCATAAAGATCATACCTTTTCATAAGCTTCTTCTCCAAGTTTTTGTTTGAAAGATAACAGATCAGGCAGAGCCCAACATGGGTACTTATTCCCATCATGGGTTACAACTGAATCTATAGCATATCGGTTATCTTTGCTTGACTTTATCATTGCTACCTTCCTGTATATGGCAATTAACCATAAAGAAGACAGTATCAGTGTCAGATACAGCTTTATATCATCAAATCAATCAATAAACCCCCACCAATTTGATCACAATTCATCAATTTAACCAAAGAAAAAGCCACACGATATTGAAAACAATGATTCGAATCACCAAACGATATGGATACTAATGCAAATATTTCAAATTTAACATGGGTAATTCAGTTGAAGAACACATGAATGATCGATTTAAATTAATAACTTCATACAACAACTGAGTGGATCAAAACAATAAATAATTCAATTACCTGCCATTGGTTCCTTCAGATTTGATCCTGCGAAGAAGAGCTGTGGTCTTGCCAGCAAACATAGGCCCCACGATAACATGAATCTCACCGGAAGGACGAAGAGGGTGGGCGATAAGATCGAGATCGCTGTGATTAAGAGTGGGTTTCAGCGACATCTTATTGGGAAGTGGGGCGTTGTGAAAGAGGTGTGGTTTTCGATTGGGTATAAATAGAGAATGGATTAATGGAGATGTGAGTTTGATTTTTGAAGTTTGGAGGGAAGATGGAGAAGAGTTTGAAATATTTTGGTAAGAAACAAGAAACATTTTGGGAGGGAATGCAAAGATTTCCTGCGAAGGAGGGAAAGGGGAGCTCACGGCTCGGCTGTTGTTTTCTTTCATATCCTTATAGTTTAGATTAATGTCATCTTTGACCCCTTGAATTGGCCTCAGTTGCCAAAAACTCCATGTTTTAGAATGGAGTTTTTAGAATGGTACAAACGAATGACATATGCAATGATCGGGACCGAAAAGGCAAAGTTAGTAATACAATTATTTACCGTAGATATACATATTATTTCATCTTGAATGTAATACAATTTGGATCTTACATACTCTAATTTTTCTTTATTAGAGCCGATTAGTTTATCGAGACTCAACCGCTGGTCTCGATAAGTTCTTGATAGAAGATGATTTCAGTAATGTTTTCGATGGGTTCTTAGTTGGTCTCGGTAAAAGATGGCTCCGATGACTAGTTAAGGTGCCACTATATTTGGATCAATTACAGATCAATTGCTATATTTAGCTCGAAGACGAGTTAAGGCGCAACCTGGTGCCTGGTAGGAAACTGATTACAAGTCATATCGTTTTAAGAAGTAAACATATTTGATCGCAGCGGAACAATAAAAATATTGATCTATAAATGTAACACCATCAAATCTGGAAAGCGCGAATAATTTAAAATTTTCAATAATACATCAAATAACAATCCTAAAATTTAACTTAACAAATGATAAACCAAGTCTTACATACAGACTAAGTCGAGGTTGGGTATTAGTGAAACTCAAATACAGTCATTATCTTCAAACACGAAAGACGTCACCGAATAACTAGATTCTTCTTAGGTATCTAACTAGCACTCAAATCGTCATGGTGTCGCTAGTACCAAACCGCAACGACGATATGATGCACATGTCAACAGATAAAAAGGTTAGGCTTAAGCCTGAACACTTATTGAGTTCAAACAATTTTCATCATAATTATAAAACAGTACAATTGAAAGATTGTTCATTTAAAACATAATTTTCAAATGAAATGCGTTTATCATAAAAAACAACTTCTTTTCAAAATTCACTGTTTTCGTGATGAAAAGCTCTAAATCAAAATACTCGTTCAATATTAAATCAAAACCAATTCTTACTCAAAAAACGTAAATGAGGTTTAATATCCAACTATTTTAAACATGGATAAAAACTCTATTATTTAAAGATGCTCGAGATGGGAATACGGTTCAATACCCAAAACCATAAATAAATGGAAAACACTCCATACTCGAAACAACGCCGAAAATGAAGATAATACTATATCCGAAAATCATTCGATGACGTGGGAGACCTGTATCCATCAAATGTGGCTAACACCTAAGTAACATACAAGCAACGTTAACGAGCCTCAACTAGGGATCATATGATCATCAAGTTCAACTCTTCGAGTCTATAGTTTAAGTCCCCCGCTAATAACCTAAACAGGCTCTTTTTGTTATAAATGACAGTCACTGACGGATTATACGGTCATCAAGTTCAACTCTTAGAGTATGTATTTCAAGTCCACTGCTACTGATCATACGGTCATCGAGTTGAACTCTTCGAGTTTGTACCTCAACTCCTCTGTTACATATGAGTTTTTAGCAAAAATACATGGATACCGGTCTCATCCCAAACCATCAAACTGACTCATATGCCTATGGATTTGTTGCAGTACGTTTTAAAATTACACAACAGTAATTGAATTACTAACACACTAAAAACGTGTAGTGTATCAAATAAAATATCATAACTGTATATAAACTCCAAAGGCTAGACAAAGAGCAAATGAACTAGACAAGTGTCCCCCAAGACCCATTTGAGTCAGAACCGAGCCAAAGCTCAACAACACGATTGACTATTCAATAAAAGTCATTGTAAATTGTAAAATCGCCCAGGAGGTTTTATGCGACCCTGGATGCGAAGTAGGTCGCATGCCAGGTCGCCGGTGCCTAAAATCACATCCAAACTTCATATATGTAACCTCGTATGCAACTCATGTCGCATGCCTGGTCGCCTAACTTTATGCCTTAAAATCCCAACTTCATTTTGACATTCCAGTGAGTAAGGCGACTTCGGTCACGTCCCAAGCCGAATGCCAATTCGCTAGGACCCATTTGATGCCCGAAAATCCTCGTTTTCGCTATTCTTTTGACCCCACAATAATCTGAAGTAAATAAATACGGTTAGACCCCAATAACTCAGCATTAATACATCAAATGTAATTATAGATAATATACATAAACCCCAAACAGTACAAGTTGGTCGGGTTGATATTTTGGTATATTAAAATATTTTGCTATATTTCCTACCTTGAATATGTTGTTTTCTCTACTCATAATTCTTTTTTTTTATCATCAATCATTTGGTATAACTTATCCATGCTCTTTAAGTATATCACATTTAACTACTTTTCTCAATTGCATATATATATATATATATATATATATATATATATATATGTTCCTATTTACTGAACATACGAAAAATCATGTGAAAATAGAAGTGTAAGAAGATATTTGGACCTTTGATCACTTTTAATTAATGTTGATCTAATGGTTCATATTAACTCCTAAAATAAACCATAAATTAGTTTAGAAGGATATTTTTTAATTGGTTTTTAATTAGAATTGATTCATGGGTAGAAATCCCTTCTTACCCCTCTCACGATAACTACTATTCTTACCGAAAACCAACTCCTGAACATATATACAATGTTATATAGAAATGGTGAAGAGATTAAAATATATGTATATGACATTGGTTACAGGATGATGTAATTGTCTAGTGTACATATTAATAAGAACTTAACAATAATTTTAAATCCAAAAAAATAAAAGGATATCGGGTACATCGGGTTGAGTTAGATTTAAATGACCGTACCTCAATTCCAATCCAATATCTATGGTTTGATTACAACTCGATTAGACGTCGGGTGGTTGCTTTGAATTAGGTTATTTCACATTCGATTATGTAGGTTGGTCGGGTTTTTGAGCACCCCAACATCTAAGGGTATCTTCAACATATTTTTTATAATTTTTCTAATATCGAGAATCAAAAGTCAATTTTTTTAAAAAGAATTACATTCAACTTCAATAGATTCTCTATTTTAAATATTTCAACATCTATCATATTATTAAAATATTCTATAAATTTATCATCTCAATGAATTTTAATTTTTTTTAAATGATAATAATTCAATTGATAGGAACAAATAAAAAGTTAAATTAATTTTTATCTATTAAATTTTATTTAGTTTTATTTATTTTAAATAACACTATAGAATAAAATTAAAATAGGAAAAAAAAAACCTATTTTCTTTATTTTGAAGAGATGACCATAAAAAAGAGATTATACTAACCATTGTAGAATACGTTTCAACTTCATTTTTAAATGTAAAATTGATAAAATCTAGAGAGCTGTTATTCATAAATTAGAAGGATACTTGTGCGATATAGCATAATGCATTTTGATTTTAATGTTTCGTTTTTTTTTTTTGTCTCTGTTGATGTTATAACACGGTTTTATGTGGTTTTGATAAAGTGATAATGTTTTTATATTTGAATAAAATATAAATTTGAATATCTCATAAAAAAATGAAAAAATATATCGATATTATTATCAATTAACTATTTAAGAGTTTACATTTTTTATTATAATTTAATATAGATGTAATAACAAAGTAATTTGTTTTCGATTTAATAATATAATTTTTTATAAACATAATAATTAAGTCATCTGTTAGAACTCAATGATTATTCTAATTATATTTTAGATTTTTTTATTTAAAATGAGATGTTTATCTTGTATTTGATTATATTTATTTGCAGTTTGTTACACAAATTCAAAATGGAGCTTTGATAAGTCGTACTTACACACAATTTACTTATAATCTTGAATTTTAAGTAATATACATCAATAAACAATATTTGATGCATAAAAATGATTTTTATTTTTTTTATCAAATGTTCTACAACATAATATAAATATGAACAAAATATTAAAAGAGACCATTCAACTTTTCGATAAATATTATTTAAATTGATTTTGACCTTAAAAAATAAAATACCTTAATGCCTTTCAATTCAATTTTATTATTAGATATAAAATAATACAATATCCAAAAGTATTCTATATAAAACATAAAAAATAATTAAACTTTATAACTATCTTTTTGTTGAGGGTTTGCATATATGTTCTATACTATTTTGTGTTTTTAATAATAGATTGTATTTAATGTATATATACATATAAAAGGTCAGATTCATGAGAAAATCGTAAAGAAATGAAAAACTAAAAAATACTCTGATAACCGTTCATCTGAATGCTATGCACACGTGTATGAAAACTTAAAAACAACTTCAATTACTTATATGCACATGTGTATACTGTCCAGATCAACAGTTACCAAAGTGTTAGTCAATTTTTTTTTTAATTTCTTTGGGGTTTTCTCCTAAACCCCCCCCCTCCTCTTCTCTCTATATATGTATGTATCAAATGCGTATATGATAAAATCCGTCCTACCACACACAAATACGTGAGTTCATCCCTCCTTGCCCCAATGGCTTATCTCATTCTCTTTTCTTTATCCTTATCGTCGAATGTCAATCAAGGTAATTCATAAATACATAAATAAAATGACATCATTAAGTATGAGAAACAGAAACAACGATGAATTATAAACCATTTGAACGAAAACTTTGATTCCCAAAATACATTTATGAAAGCAACAATTTTCAAGAAAATGGATAGATGAGCAAAACCCTATTTTTATTAAGTTGATGCGAATATTTCACTTAATATATCTTTTGGGGAAAATATGTATGGTGAAAATAGGGTGCATCTCTTTTCTTAATGAATTGATGTAGAAATGAGAACCATAAGAAGCAATAGCAACCGTTGATGAGGCAAGAATGGGGTGTGAAGGGCAGCATCCATGTGGGTCCATGGGGTACCCATGCATGCACATACATGGGATTGCAACGAAAGATTTTCCCAATAAGTCTATAAAGGTCGAGTCGGAGGACAAGCAATCCTTCCATTTATCAGATCGAACACCCAAAAAAGTTTTATCTTTTTTTGTTTTCCCTTTTCTTCTCTCAAACTACCACACATTACACATATTCACCATACCCAAAAAATTAACAAAAATAAAAGAGAAATAATTAATTTTCGGCAAATTTCTCATTTTTATATATGTAGAAGAAGAGAAACTCGCATCAAAGATTTCTTTGTTTGAGACATATTCCTCTTTCTTTAATTATTTCGAACAAATTTTGAATTTTGAATAACCAAGAAACACAAAGGGGGCAGTATTGAGGAGGATGAACGTGCCCTCGGTTCTTATTGTGCCTCCTCTCAGATCTTAATTGCTTTTTGTCAAGATTTATCATCTGGGTGTTTCTTCAATTTGGTGGGTTTTTGTTAAAGATTTGGGTGATTGTTTCTTTTTCTGGTTAGTTTTGGGAAAGAGAGAGAGAGAGAAAGAGAGTATGTTTCTCGATTGATCGGCTGATTGATTGTGTTTTATTTTAAATTTCTTTCGCCCCCTTTTCAGGAGACCCTGAATTGTTGTAAGATTGGTCATCGTCGAAGGATCCGATGTTTTCTGATTGAATCGACAATACCCAATTCTTATCGGGAATACTAATCTGCGTGTTCTTCAAAGTAAGGTATATTGCTTTTAATCTGGACTATCTTGATCTACATTTTCACTTTATGGACTCGGAATCTTTACCGGATTAAAGTCTGAATTTTGATGTTAATTTTAAATTTATTCTGGAATTCATTTTGCTATATTTCGGATCGAGTTGTATGCTATGTCTTTACATCTCATTCTCTTCCTGTTTGGATTGATAGCGATAATTTGGAATTTGTGAAAATTTTGTTGTAATTTGGGTTTTTGCTTGATTGCTTTTGGTGTCTAGAAAATGCAATCTGATCTTGGCAAGTTATTTATCGGTGGGATATCATGGGACACAAATGAAGAACGTCTGAAGGAGTATTTTAGTAGTTATGGTGAGGTGTTGGAAGCTGTAATTATGAAAGATCATACCACTGGCCGTGCCCGTGGTTTTGGTTTCGTTGTCTTTGCTGATCCTGTTGTTGCTGAGCAAGTCACCAAAGAGAAACACAACATTGATGGTAGAATGGTAAGTCTTTTTCAATCTAAATCCTTAATTCAGATTCAACAAGTTAATTAATTGTTTATTTTTCCAAAACTATTATGCATAGATGTAGTAAATTGAGTTCTTGTGATATTCTTTTGTTATTTCAGGTTGAGGCAAAAAAGGCTGTTCCTAGGGATGATCAAAGCACCATGAGTAGAAACAGTAGTAGCTTTCAGGGTTCTCCTGGTCCAGGACGAACAAGAAAGATTTTTGTAGGAGGTTTAGCGTCCACAGTCACTGAGGCTGATTTCAAGAGGTACTTTGAGCAATTTGGAACTATTACGGATGTTGTGGTTATGTATGATCATAATACACAGAGGCCTAGAGGTTTTGGATTCATTACTTATGATTCAGAGGATGCAGTAGACAAAGTTTTGTTGAAAACTTTCCATGAGCTCAACGGTAAAATGGTTGAGGTCAAACGTGCAGTCCCAAAAGAGCTTTCACCTGGTCCAAGCCGAAGTCCACTTGGTGCATATCCTTATGGTTTGAGCCGAACCAGTAGCTTTCTTAATGGCTACAATCAAGGAGCCTATTCTCCAAATGCAGTTGGAGTTGGTGGTTATGGTGTTAGGATGGATGGTAGATTCAGCCCGATTCCTTCTGCTAGAAGTGGGTTTGCTACATTTGGTTCTGGATATGGAATGGGATTGAACTTTGAACCAGGGATGAGTGGTAATTATGGTGGTGGCACCAACTATAATAGTACTCTGAGCTATGGAAGGGGAATGAACCCTTATTATGTTGGGAATTCAAATAGGTTTGGGAGTCCTATTAGTTTTGATGGTGGAAATGGAGGGAATACTTCTTTCTTTAGTTCAAATCCTCGAAATTTATGGGGTAATGGAGGGCTTAACTATGGATCAAATTCCACAGGTTCGAGTGGTTATGTAGGATCCGGAAGTGGGGTCATTGGTGGCGGAATCTTGGGGAACACTGGGCTTAACTGGGGTTCTTCTCCTATTTCACCTCAAGGTGGCGGAAATGGTTCTACACAGAGTGCGAATCTTGGTTATGGAGGTGGAGATAACAGTTATGGTTTAAGAGGTGCAGCTTATGGAAGAAATGCTACTACTAATGGGGTTCCTACATCATCATACGCTGCATCTAGTGTAGGTTATGATGGGCCTTTTTCAGATTTCTATGGTGGTAGTGGCTCAGTCTATGGGGGAGACCCAACTTGGCGGTCAACGAATAACGAGCGAGAGGGGTCTGGTTCATTTGGAGGGTATGGGCTAGGCGGTGGAGGTTCTGATGTCCAGACTAAAAGTTCTTCTGGTTATGTTGGTGGTTATAGTGTTGCTAAGAGACAGGAAAACAGAGGTATGGTCTCTCATTCAACCCTGTACATATGTGTCTGTATTTGATCCTAGCTATTTAGTATTTTCATGCTCAAGGGTATGCCACATTAATAGTCTAGATATGCCTTTATGGGTGCGTTTGGTGTGTAGACGACTGGACGGGCGAGAGTGAGATAGGTGGGTGAAAGAATTGTGGAAGTTTTAGGGTTTTAATTTGACATGGGTAGTTTAGTAATTTACCAATCTTGTCACATCTCCCAGTTTTTGTTCCATGTGACAAAAAAATGCATTTTAGTCTCACTCAGGTCATGTCCTGTCGCAGTCTAATGTCTTCGCCAAATGTGTGGCAACAAATTTTTGTACTGTACTGTCCCGTCTTGCATACCAAACGCACCACAAAAAGAACAAATGCGTAATCATGTAAAGAGAACAATCCACAGATAATTAAAAATTATCTTAAAACACTACTTTTGGTCCAGGAAAATCTGAAGTAGAATTCATCTTTTTTGCATAGTTATATGAGGATGATAAACATGGCATTATTGCTGCTTGATATCTATCAGAGCGATATATAAATGGGCATAAGTAGCATGCTCTGAACTTCCCAAACAATTGTCACTAGAAACTAATCATAAAATGGACTTACCCGATCTATATCTTGGTTCATTAATCATTGTATGCTGCTGTTTGCATAGTAGTTGCTGATATGTGAGCATGTTAGGAATGAAATTCTATGTAAAATTGTATTCGTCTTGAAAGATAAAATTGTCTATAATTGTAGAAAAGTCGTCGTGTTTGACTTTTATTAGAGATGTTTGGTTGTTTCATAGTGTCAGTTAGTATTTTCTGGTAGCTGCATTCATTTATGTTCTCCATGAGCATATTAAAGTATTAGAAGTTACTCTGGTCGTCACAGTTTGACTACAAAAATGCACAATATTGCCCCTATTAGATGGCTTCCTATATGAAGAAGTTGAGCATCTTACTGAAAGACCCCAACCATATTATATTGTCCCTCTCTTTTGTAGATTGACAAGTATGGCATGACTCCATGGGAATAATACTTTCTGTTGTTAGTTTGAAGTATTTTTCAATTGAAAACCACACATATTAATGTCATACGAGACCCCCTCTGCAAATTGTATTAAAGGGTGTATATGTACACACAGACATATATCGGAACGCCTCCATACATGATATTAGAATGACCCTTTTGCTCCAACAATTTATCATCTTTTGGTTAGACGACAAGAAAACACACTATGTGGGCTTCGGCATCCTGCATATAATCACTACTTGCAACCTGACCATGATGCCTCTAGCGAATTATTCATATTTTAAACGGTCATTATGTGGGGTAATTCGACATGTCTGGTTTGTTTCTTTTCATCTTTCCTCTATCCAAGTGGCAGAGAGACTGCTTCCTTGAAGATGACCCCCAGCTTGGCAATGGAAGTAGAAGGAAACATGAGTGATAGAGAAAGGTGAAAAAAGCTGCAAGAGAGTGTGCAAATATGCAGTAGGTACAGTAAATAGAAAAGCTAGTAGGAACACATAGGTGAGAACACAAAATGCAGAACTGACAACTACTAGGGCAAGATCCCCTCCTTTGAACCATCTTATGGCGTTCGCTAGCCTATCTATCGGGCCCTGAGTTCTTCCCTCCTCTACCCTAGCTACTTGTCCATACTAATATCTGCAGTCTGCGATCCTAGTTCTACGTCTTTAAGAATTCCTATCAAATGCCATGTCCTTGGAAGGCTTTAGCGCCGCCATGTCCAGCCTCAGCTACTTGGCCCGCATCCTCCTCCGGCTGCTTCTCCCTCTCATCCCCTCAAATGTTATGCTTTCCACCCTTCTCACTGGTGTCGATAAATGTCTCCTTTTAACGTGGCAAACCATTGCAATCTTCCCTCTCTATATTTATCCCTTATAGACATAACTCCTAGCTCTTCCCGAGAACATCTTTTCGACATTCCGTCCAACATGGTCAGAGCACAGGCTAAACATCCTCGTTTCTGCAACTTCCAACTTCGGGACCGTTTACCATATGCTTACCGGCAAGAGTTACCACACTCACTTACTTTAGCTGGTAACATCTCCCTCCTTGTGAATCATGGAGCTTAAATACTTAAAACTGTCCTTTTGAGGTATCATTTTCTCCCCAATTTTGACTTCCACTGCTTCATTGTTACACTCCCTACTGAAATTGCAGTATAGGTATTTGGTCGAGTGGCTAATGCGAAATCCATAGGTCTCCAGTGCCACCCTCCACTGCTCTAAACTAACAGTTATTTGAAGGTCATACTTTCGGGCTTAATAACTTCTTGATTAGTTTCTTTAAACAATAATTTAAGAAAATCTACAAAAACACCACTGAAAAACATCTATGAGACCCAATTGGAGACAAAAAATCTGCAAGATGTTATTGAAGAAATCTGTAAAACAAGATTGAATTTCATAATCATTCATGTTTTGTGTAGACTATCCAACTGAACCAGACCAATAAAGCCCGGTATATCCCAACTGAAGGTAGGGTCTTTGAGGGGGGGGTATCCTTTTCAACATAGTCCTGCTGCTAATCCACCTCAACAACTTCATATCCAACTTAAATAGAAACTTAAGTAGGCTAATGAATTAAGCACAAAGAAATTCCAAAGGATGCTGACACTGAATGGTGATATATCCACATTAGTTAAATTTGCTGATAAAGTATAAATTAATACCAACAACGACCACCACCATTGCCACGATTGTCACCACGGCTACACAAGCCACTAAGAGCATACGCCAACCACTTTTAGCCATCATTTTCAAGTGTTTACTGGATTCAAATTGCATAAAGCTCAATGCTTTTCAAGTTATAATATGTATAGCTAAAGTTTGTGTTTTTGGGTGGCACAGGAATCACTGGGTAGTAGGATGGATGCATGAAGTTTGATATGTGAATTTTGGTTACTTTTGTTGTTTAGCAGCCAGCAGCAGCAGCTTCACCTGAAAAGGGGTTTGGCTATCATCTTCTCCAGAGCTGAGCTAACTTGAGTGCAGTAGAAGGAAGGAAGGAAGGAAGGAAGGAAGGAAGGTTTATAAGTAATTTTTGTTTTTATGGATTGAATTTTTATGAGTTGTTACATTTTTGAGTGAGATGTAAAATTGGTTTGCGGCGTATAGTCAAAAAAATGTGTCATCTTGCATCTCTTTGCAAGTCAACAAGGTTCGGGTTTTTTTGTTTTCCTTGTATCAGAGTTTTATATTTGGTTTTGTACCAGGATGGCTTCTTGATGATTTTACTGCTAGTGAGGGTGGGTTCCCATGAATAAGTAAGTTACCTTAACTCTCTGATTGCTTTTTGCTTGCATGGATTATTGATCGAGTTTGAATCCCCCCCTTTTCGACCCACGATTCAAATCCAGATGTTTTAATGTGCAATATATATACATATAGATGAGATTGTTGTGGGTTTGAGGATTGGTGTTATGGTGAATTAGGGGATTGCTTTCTGGCATATTTGGATGATATGCAAAAGTGGTCTGTTTATGGTTACATAAAAGTGGATATCCAAGGAGGAATAAAAATCCCCTGGTGGCTACGGAGGTTCAAATGTGGTAACTTTGCGCTATCTGTAAAGCAGGTAGTCGTCCTGGGAGTAGTCGGTTCGCATAGCAGATTGGATATCCAGGTTAATAAAAAAAAGTGGTATGTTCATGATTATGAGGATCAAAGGTTGTTTCTAGTTTTGAAACCTCTTCTAACTTTTATGGTCAAATAAGGTAATCTTTGTGATTCTTGTCTTTTGGTGAAGGATTTCAAGATTTTGCTTTGCATGCCCAAGAGAGAAGTGATGGTTCATGGAGTAGAGTCACCATGTCCGGTTATAGTCACCGGTGCCAATAACCGGTTAAGCCGGTCCCCTGGTTATAACCAAATATGGTTTCAAAATACGTAACTAGCTGGTTATAGGATCTTGATTAAATTAATCCTTCGAAAAATTCAAATTATGAAAATAACCTATAAAAAATCATATTTCAAAAAATGCCCCCTCATTTAACATTACACACTGCTTGGTGTATAGGAGGTTTTTTTTGCAATTTTTTTTTTTAAATATGATGCGACTCCTTGGATATGACGATGGTTGATGGTTTAACACCAGTTGATACTTAATGCGGTAAAATGGTCCATTCTTAACATATTTTAATATGTTTTAATATAAATAAACATATTTTTAATATAGATAAACATATTTATTTATTATTATAATAATTTATTAAGACTTAATGGTTATAACGTATAATTATTTTCTATAATTAATAAATATTATAGAAAATAATTATATATTTATTATTTATTAATTATAGACAATAATTATATATTATAATCATTAAATTTTAATAAAATATAATAATAATAAATAAATATGTTTATTTATATTAAAATATATTAAGAGGTGTGCCCTTTACACACTAAACATCAATCGATGTTAAACCATCTCAATCGCTGTCATATCAAATGAGTTACACCATCAAATTAGAAAATATTTTTTTTTGTAAAAAAGCCTTCCTATGCTAAATGAGGGGCCATTTTTTAAAATATGATTTTTCATAGGTAATTTTTGTAATTTAAATTTTTTAGAAGATTAATTTAGACAAGATCACAACTTATTACCCCATTTTATTTATTTATTACACATGAATAATAAATAGATTGTAATTAATAAATTAATAAAATATAATCTAATAAATAGATCGTCAACATTCATAAAACCAAAAAAGCTAGAATCTGTATAAATGTTCGATTCATTTGGTGTCTTGTAGTTTGAGAGACTGTATTATTATGAAACGCCATTGCAATATTTTTCTCATTGCTCTTTACACTCCCAATGCTAGTTGATGACTTTTTTGTTTACCTAAATCGTCACCGTGTATTCTATCTTACCGAAGTTAGCACTATATATGTCAAAATAAATTATGAAGCATAAATTTAAAATTGACGATATCGGTTATCATATACTCTACACCGACAACGTTTATGGTGGGGGTTTAAGATGGCGTCAAGCGTGAATATTGGTGACAAGTTCGTAAAATATTTCATTACTTTTTTTTTCTTGTTGGTCTTACTATTTTACTCTAGTTTTTGACGTTCTGAATTCCTTTAGCTTCTCCGTCATTATATGAATATGTTTAAGTACAAAACAACTAGTTCGTGGAGGTGGCAAGCACGTTTGGGATTCACGGTTACTGATTGCAAAGCCTTTGATACGAACGGTCCCTTTTGAGCAGTCCTTTTTATATTCGAATTGAGGTATCACAAAGACTCTTCTTGTAACCTTGCAACTTCCACAACTCCTGTCACTGTTGTGGGTTTAAAGGCTCGTACTATTGGTTTAACAGCAGGTCAGAAGCCCCTACTGAAACTATCTAGAATATAAGGCTCAGGTAACACATGATTATTTTGCATCATAATTACCCTTAAATCATCAAACTCGTCTATATAAACCTTTAAAGAATCATGTTGTTGTAGGTTACTGAATCGCTCCACAACATTTACTCCAAATTCATCTTTAAATCGAGTATTGAGATCTATGACAAAATCGCTCCAATCAACATTTCTTCTAACAGAAACAGACAGGTAACTGGAAATCCAATTGATTAATATTTATATAGCACAGGGGCGTGTTACGTGTGAGTATGGTTTCAGATAACACAAATGTTTAAATGAAAAGTATAGGGTGTGTCTGTAAAAAAAGAAACTTTAGTGTTTAAAATGCAATGATATGAAGACTACAGGGACGAATAAGGGTGGTTTAAAGAATTGTGTGGGTATTGTGTAAATTTGAAATGCTATATAAAGGGAAAAAGAGAAAAAGAAAAGGATCATACCTATTGCGGGTCTTCTTTGTGTCTGCAACTGCAAGTATAGATCTTCCTCGCTGGCCCCTTTGTCGTCGGTTGATTCCTTTGCTCCGGCGACAAAAGTTATCGTGTTCTGACGTCAAATAAGCAAGATATAACTGTATATATATAAAGAAGATCTTTGTTTCTTCGTTTCTCAGGTAATTACCGAATGATTCAGCAAAGTTTTGTGAAGGTTTATTGTTAGTCGATTTGTTTTAACTTCGAGAGTTCAAAACTTGAAAGTCGTTTACAATACAATATTTTTTCTTGTCGATTGTCGCCTTTTTCTTTCTGATCGCCAAAGAGGAGGAGGGACTGAAGTAATGAACCCGTGAACTCTAAGTTATTACCACCAGGAATCGGAAGGCAAAATTGAATTTGTTTTTTAAATTCTGAAACTCCATATTGATATATGTTTGATCTCATCGACGCAGAGAACGCTTACGGCTAACAGTCACCAGGCTTCATTTGACCCTCAATCCTCATTGAAGAGACACGCTCACCAGTTGCCGCTGTCCGCTGCTGAAACGCCATCGACGCTCACCTCTCTCATTTTGGGTAAGCTTTTCATGGAATTCTGACATTAGGGTTTTGTTAAGCCTTATTAAAAGTTGTTTCTTGATGCTTACCCCCTTCTAATTATTACAAAGCTTCACATCTCACACACCCTCACGGTTTCACATTTGGTATGTGGTCTAAGATCGAGTTAAATGTGGGAACCAGGGTTTGAAATTTGTTGTGGGTATTGTGGGTTTACATCAATTTTGCAGTTGAAATTTGATGATTAGTTCATTTAGTTGTTGGGTTTGCCTTTAAATTGTCCCAAAGAATTGTATTAGTATGTTTGTATGTATACCCTAGAGAGAGTAAATTGACTTAAGCTGTAAGTCACGCAAAGTTAAAAAGGATTACACATAAGTTATGCTAAATGTTATCTGATATACTAAAGGATTACATAAATGGATACTGGAATAGATAATTTGAAAACCAAATGGTATGTATATATGTAAGAATACATAATTTATTTAGATGCAGAAGAAATAAAGCCACAAGGCCACAAGTGGAAGCTTAAGAAGATAAATGATGATGAGTTGTGATATCTTGTAGCAAGAAGAGTGAAAGAGAATATGACAAACTGGAAGAAGAAAAATAGTTGTTTGGTCAAAGAAATAGGGTGAGCTAAGAGGTGAGATCACAAGTGCCCATAATCAAAAGAAAAATCTCATATAGAAGCTGAAAGGAACGTAGATCGGTAACAAGGAAAGACAAGGGTGATAATTAAAGAGATTAACATTCTGTTTAGAAGAAATTGGAGGATGTATCTAGGTCACAAGAGAGGAGTATGGTAACTCCTTTTCCCACTTTAATCGTTGAAAGCACCCTGGTATAGATACAATCATTGCTTAGTTCCTCACCTTATAGAGTTTAGGTTAGTTCCTCCTAAAGTGTGAAAATTCAAAGTATAGTGAGACAAGTCACGAGTGTATTCAAGTTCTTACAAGAGATCCTACAAGTTTTCGTATTCTAAGTCTTGAATCATAGAGAACTAACCTCTCATGTTTGAAGTACATAAATACATCATATATATGTTTAGAAGTATGTGTTTCCATGAGATACCAGTTGTGGGTCAAATAATTGTACTCCAAAGTCCAAACTCAAACTAACCGTTTACATGATAGATATTTCTGAACTTTCAACTTTGGTTTAGCATTGGATTAAGTGGGAAGCCATACTACTGAGAGCACTTGTATTTACGGATTAAGGCTTCCCTAAATGTAAATCATGTCAGTTGATTTCTGTGCTCCCGCGATAAAACTCATCATGTTCTATCATCAAATAACCAAGACATAATTGTATCTATCCTAAGATGATCTTTCTTTCTTCGTTTCTCAGGTAATTACCGAATGATTCAGCAAAGATTTGTTAATGTTTATTGTTAGTCAATTTGTTTTAACTTTTGAGAGTTCAAATCTTGCGGCTTTACGGAATCTTGTTTAGTCGATTGTTGTCTTTTCGTTCTGATCAGCAAAGGGGAGAAGGGACTGAGGCCACAAACTTAGAGATATTACCACCAGGAATCTGAAGGCAAAATTTGAATTCTGAAACTCCATATGTCATCAACATTCTGGGTTAATTTTGTTTTCATTTAATAAATTTAATATGTAAATTAGCACTTGTCTAATATGTATATAACTTGGATTAATTTTTGATCTCAAAGCTGTTTACTAATATGGTTCATGTTTTAATGCTCATATGATAAAAAATCATTTACTTGTGTATATATTGATGATAATTATCATACACAAGGATATTATTGATACCAAGAACATGTAGCTGATGGTCTTGATGCCATACTACAGACATCGAATGCTCCCGAAAGAAGGTTTTCTGAACTTAATTTTCTAGTTAGGATAATTGTGAATTGTCAAGCTATGTAGCTACTTTTCTCCATCAATAATCATTATACCTACCTCGTTGATCACAATTAAAATCAGTAGCACACAGGCGAGGAGTTACTTTATGGCTGTTTGCTACTTATAATTCGTAATCATGATATTGGAACTTGAACTGAACAAATGATACAGGTGAGATTTACCTTCTCTTCTCGAATGCTAAAGCCCATTTCATGCTTTTCCCTTTTATTGTTTAGAAGGCAGCGAAAGGCAGACTACAACAAGATGGACGTCAGTGATAACCATTTTGAATCCAAAAGAATTGTTTTTGTGACTGTCGGCACAACGTCTTTTGATTCTCTTGTTAGAACTGTCGACACTGACCAGGTTAAGAAAGAGTTGTCAAAGAAAGGATATACACATCTTATCATTCAAATGGGTCGTGGATCCTATATCCCTAACAAGGTATCTTGAATTGTGGTTTCTATTGATCCTGTTTTAGTTGATTGTATGAATTTCAACTATATCTATTGGATAAAGTTCTATTCTAAGTGACTGAATAAACTTGTAATTAAGATGATAAGATTTGGTATAAAATTGTACCCTTGGACCATGGGAGATGTTTTTATCTTTCAGTAGTGTAGGTTGTTTTTTCATGGTCTCAACTCCCAATCACTTAGTTCAGCATGCACATCCAGTCAATTTATGTTTTATAATGAATATTTTCCAGATTCATCGGGTCTTATATCTTTCATAAAATGCAGTCTAGTGGTGAAGATGGATCGTTGGTTGTAGATTACTTTACTTTTTCCTCAAGCATTGCAGACTATTTGAGATCAGCATCTCTTGTCATAAGCCATGCAGGTATGACATTTAAGCTAAGGATAAATGTTATTCAATCCTATTGGTAATAATGATCATTTCTTTATATCGTTCATGCTTCTAACAAAATTATAACCGTTGATTTACTTTCTCCAAATACAATCTAGTTACTGATTTTTAGATTTAATTGCAATTTTGCACAATTTGACTTTTCAAGCAATCGGTTTGTAATTGTGCACAATAAATAGGAGCCTATGTCATATTGGTGGGGAGATGGAATGGCTCACCTCCTACTTATTACTTGGAGGTTGAAACTGCTTAATGTGTCCCGTATCTCATGTGCATGCCACCACAAGCTGGCTTGATTTGGCATGGTGAAAGATTATTTAGTATAACTTCTGAAATTCAACTTCAGACCCACGTGGTTTGAATTGTGACTGTTCAATATCTTAATGGTTCAGGATGGTACTTGAGTTTTGGAAGTAATAATCATGTCAGTTGACAGGAACTCCATTAAGAGTCGTATGTTTTGTTAAAATTTAGAGGAAAATTCATGTCATTTTGTTAAATGATTAAATCTTAACTGGCTTAGCGCAAAGTTGCATCTTTTGGTCAGAAACTTGATGGATTCAAAAAAATGTCAGCATCTTTTCATTAGAAAGTTAACAATTTTAATGGCAAAGTCACACTTTTCCGTGGAAGTCATTAGATTTGCATCTTTTCCTGTAAGCGCATTGCAACTTGCATAAATAAGTGTGATATTCTCTGATGAAATCTTTCTGTATCCTTGATATCTGTTGGGTTTTTTTCAACTATTTGTTTGGTACAATGTTGGTTCTTGTTGGGTAATGACTAGTCTAACACAGAGAGTGTTTGTAGAAGGCGGGTTTGAATACAAACACGACAAAATTTTCAGTTTAATTCTGTATGTTTTATAAAAACAAAGAATCACATATTGTTGCAGAAACGAGGAAGGGAAGACCCAACCATATATGTTACCTAAAGATGAAATAAGGCCACCGCTAATTATTGTTATTCAACAATTTTATTTAAAGACAAAGCTTTATTAGAATGTTGGAAGGCTTAGTAAGGTCAAAGTTGGTCTTCTTCTTATAGCAAACCCAAACGTGTTCTAATCTCTACATGTTGCATCATTGGCATAATCTTCAAATCTGAAGTTGGTTCTATCAATTTCACGACTGTCCCATATTGTCTTTCTTGTTTCTTATTTTAAATATCTAGAGTGAGTTTAACTACAAATTTCTGAATGATATGAACCACCGCCACACTTGCGTGTAATATTGGTAAAATGCAGAATATAACAAATATCATTACACTTATTTGGCAGGTTCAGGGAGCATATTTGAGACACTAAGGCTGGGCAAACCCTTAATAGTGGTAGTGAATGAAGACCTGATGGATAACCATCAAAGTGAGCTAGCCGAAGAACTAGCAGAGAGGAAGCATTTGTTTTGTGGTCGCCCTCAAACGCTCTACCAGGTCATTGAAGCCCTAGATTTGGATTCTATTGTTCCATACCAGTCAGGTGATGCTAGTCCGGTTGCTAAACTAATCAATAGGTATTTAGGTTTTCCTGCTGATTGATCAGAACCTGTAGATATGCTATACTATGTGTTCATTTACTGAATTCTCGGTAGATCTTTTATGTAACAAATATCTTAAAAGAGTTACTAATACTCTCCATGAGATTGCATTATGAAAATTCTCTGGGTGTTGTAGCAAACATGATTTTATATATCCGTCTTTGCGTATAACATGTATACATATAATTGTTTCAAATCTTATATGAATTTTCCGATATCCAGTTGGTGAACTTGATCCCCAAATCCCAATTGCAAATTTGTTGGAGTATCATAGATTTTATCTTTCTGGAGGCGAGTTCTTTTTCTTTCTTTTTTTACAATCTTTGATCAAGATTTGGTTTCTTGAAATCATCCATGGCGATCCTTTTGTTAATCTTCAAAATTTGACTCTATCCCCCCTCATTTCTGTTTTTACACAATTGGTACCTTGTTTTTATGATTCTTTCAAAGAAATTTCTTCTTCATTTTTATTTAACAAACTATGGGGACAAGCTATGATGAAGACACTTTGTGGTAGAATTGAAATAGCTTTCCTGAACGTTGGGGATTATCTGTTAACCTTAACAAAATGGGTACACTAAACGGTATTGCATTGAAAGTCAATAATTGACATTGTATAGCAAGTTCCTATCTAGGTTATTTCTTTCTATCCGGATAAGAAATCAAGCTCTCCTGTTGATTGAAGATTTTGCTGGGAAACAGAGTGCATTTGAGGGATATCATCCAAAACCAAGCTCCCGGCTTGCCATACTTGGTTAACAAGGGACCCACCTGCAAACGGACCCACAACAGAATAAATGGTAATCTCATTATTCGAGTACTCAGCAGTTAGACCTGAAACTTGAAAGCTAAGATCTCCGGGCAGCATTGATGGGCTATAACTTGTTATCATTGTTGGATATACTGCCATGCTCCCATTACTGTTGTGGAAAGCCACCAGTGCTTCTGACCCAACCATACCTATTTGGTTCGGGTTTATGGCCCAAGCAACCCATCCAGAGGGCCCTTGTCTCGCTCTGTATGCGATCTGGGCTTGGCCCGTGGATGAGTTGTAGGTCCAATGGAGATGGGCAGATAGATGGGGAAGATCTTGGCAAGAACTGTAGACTCTTTTGGCTGTGAATTTGTGATTTGAGCACGTTCGTGCAGGTGATATGTTGAAATTAGATGCAAGAATGTGAAAAAATAGGATGAGGCCAGAGCTTATGGTTATAGCCATTGATGGTAATAAAAAAAAGCTAGCTTATTGATCTTGTTAAAATGTAGTTATTACTTATATGGTTAGTAAGTGTATGTAGGACTGTCATGAAACTTTTGTTTCTTTTTCCCATCCATTGGCATTTATCTGGTCACTGGAGGTGTATCATGTGTGATGAACCAACTTCTTGCTTGCATCAAGACATCTTTACAGGTTGGAGGGATCAATCAGTGTGTGTTTGAGGGTGTAAATGTGTGAAAAGTTGTAGAATCTGTTGACTCTGTCCCCCAAAAGTCAACTTTATGGATTCTTTTTTCTGTATAATCTTGAAGTTTTCTATCAAAAGAAGCACTTTTAATCCAATTCTTCTGCTCTTTAGGAATGCAAAAAAAACTTAAAAAGCTGAAGGCATCTTAACTTTAAATAAGCATGTATTCAATAAGGGAATCTTGAGAAAATGATGCCATGTACCTTTACTTCTTTAGCATGATCACATGTTCACATGTGCATTGATTCAATCATTGAACACCAGCTGGGTTTTCAAACAACTTGCATAAAACACTAACAGCAGTGTCAGTGTGTGTTTGAGGGTGTAAATGTGTGAGAATTTATAGATTTTTATTGTTTCAATTCCATTTTTACAGACTTGATGAAAAATCAATGATCCCTGTGGATTGAAGATTTTCCAGCTCCATTGCATGCATTTGAGGGACCCCATTCCGATCCAAGCTCCCAACTTGCCACACTTGATTCACCACAGGTCCGTTCACAAGTGGACCCACAACCGCAAAAATTGTGATCTCATTGTTTGCATACTCTGCCGAGAGCTTCGAAACACGGAACTGAAGTTTCCTGGGCTGCATTGACGGATTGTATCCAGTGATCAATGTTGTATATGCCGACATCCTGCCTTTACTGTCGCGAAAAGCCAGCAGGGCCTGCGATCCAACCATGGCTCGTCGGTTCAGATTGATTGCCCACGCGGTCCATCCATTGGGGGTGTGTTGGACTCGAAATGCGATCTTGGCTTGTTTGGAGGATTTGAAATAGGTCCAGTGGAGATGGGCATTGAGATATGGAAGATCTTGGCAAGAAGTGAAGACCCTTTTGGATGTAAAAGTGTGGTTTGAACAGGTTTGAGCAGATGAAGTGAAGAAAAGAGAAATAAGAATGATGGAGATGAATATAATGGATGTAGAGCTTAAAACCATGGTCATTTCTTGATGGAATTCTCTAGAGTTTTAGGCTAATAATTGAGGTGGTTCTGATTTAATGTGGAGAGAGGATAGATCTGTAATTTCACCCAAGTACTAGGAATAGCACATGGGTCTAACCCATTATCAAATAAAGTAGCTTTTTTGAAGTTCCATTAACTTGTGGAAAAATTATATAAAACAATAATATATATTATCCGAGTTAGTGATTGCCAAACTGGCCCAGACTGGCCTAGGACCGCAGGAGGACCGGAACATTTACCTTCCACTAGTAAAGTGTAAATTATTAATATAGTAAAAGTTACGATTTGTCTAGATTTTTTTTGACTCAAAGCATGTCTTACATGAGTCTGAACGACAAAATATGGAGTGTGTTTTACGTTTATAAAAGAATTTTAGACTCCTGTTTTAAATCCAGGTGTTGTCAAAGCCCTTGTAGTTATGGAGATTTATTTGCCCCCTGGCTCTTCTTTAACAACTAAAAGCCTTACCGTCTGTTGGTTGACTTATGCGCCCTAAGGGGTAGACAACTTGCTAGTTAGTATGATTTTCTGTAGGGAGATAGCTAGTTAACTTTCTCTCCTGTCTTTTAAATTAAAATGAGCTTTTTTCTTACTAACGATGACTCCAGACATTCACAATTGTTCAAGGAATTAGTCGATACGTATGAACTGACCTGAAAATTCACGGTTAAAAAGAACACGTCAATCAAATGTGAAGATACTAATTAATTCTTTTATTTTTTGTACCCTTTCAAATATTATTATTTTTAATTGTAACAACTTTTCAAAGTCTACTTTCTTTTCAAAGTTTATGTGTGAAAGATCAAAACAATTATTTTAGTCATTTATGTATAACTGATTACAATTTATATTTGTTTGAACGTAAAGGGGGTGTTTTTGATTGTTTATTTAAAACAAAATATGTTTTTCTGTAAAAATTTTTATCAACTTATTATAAGTTAAAAGAGTTTAACTTCTTTAAAAATGCTTATTACTAGTGTCACACCAAAATAAGTCATAATAAAATTTTATATTTTATTTAAATATTTTAAATGTTTTTTTTAACCTGAATATCCAACTCGCTTTACAGATAGCCTGGAGTCATCGCATTTGAAACTCCGTGGCCACAAAAGGATTTTTATTTCTTTTTGGATTTGAGCCTAAAACCTCCTGATACTTTTAATATTTGGAGAAAGTTCAAACCAATAAGACACCAATCTTATGGTTTTATTTTAAATGTTGTTTAGAGAAAAAGAAAAGAAAATGGTTCCAAGTGGGGGTGGGATACGACCATTTGTCACTTGTCAAGCAAAGCCGGCTCCAAGCATTTCAAACCGTGTCCAAGACATAATATTCAAACGTCAATTAATTAATTAATTATCAAATATTGACGTATTTATTATATCATAATATCTAATTTATTTTTAAATATTTTAACAAAAAAAAAAAAAAAATGAAAGCGCGGGTCTAACATTTATTAGTCGTTTTCTTTTATTATTATGGGGTTTTGACTTTGGATCAAGTCCGAATGTGGATCGGGTCCTGGTCCAAAAGCAACCGACTTGAAGCATCAGTTAACGACTACTTTGGAACTTCTAGAAGCTTTTTCCTCCTCCGTACGATTCGTTAGGTTTGGTCAACATTGAGAGTTGTTGACCTCTTGGATTATTTGAATTAGAAAAAGATCATTTCTAGTCCCTATGCAATTAATTTTCACACTTTGCACCCTTCAAATGCCTTTTCTTTTCAACACCTTTTCTTATCTTTAGTCCATGATGATTCATGTAATCCCCTTTTCATATTAAACCAAACAATTCGTTACTCAGGACAAACATAAATCGTTCGTAAAAGATACGACTGATCCAACATGACCCAGGTCTCCTACGACGAGCGTGTTAGATTTCCATGTAGATATTAGAAAAGACAGTAAAACGCTATAGTTTCATACAAGTCTCTAGAGCATAGAAAACCAGAACCTTTATGATAATCAGTAATTCGATTCGTTTTCGATCAAACCTTCAAAAGTCAGAATTAGAAGTTTTGGATCAAGAATTTCAAATTAAAAAACTAAGCGTAGTCTTCTTTTTTCTCTCAAATAAAAGGCTTATCGGGCAAACCACTTTATTATACATATAGTAGACATAATTCCAATAATCAATTTTCTTTTATAAGAACCAAAATCACTTATTTTGGCTTTTTATCCCACAAAAAAAAATAGATACAATACGAAATATCATAAAAACAATTGTATATACTTAGACCAGAAAAACTCATGCTCAAAACCGTTTATCGAAAAAAGCAACCCCAAAAATTTGGGACCAAAAGCAATTAGCAGTGACCATCGAGGGGTTGTGACCAAGGAGGTAATTCATGATTTTTAAATCAAATTACTTACTTTTAATAAGTTTGTTACAATAAGATTTGATTTGAATTTTAATTATTATTTCACATATCCGAATACCCATATATTATCTTTATCTAGTACAACGATAGGTGGTCCGATTGGTTCCTATCTAAAATCGATATTTTTTTTGTTTTGCGTATTTTTAAATCGATATTTTTTTTTGTTTTGAGTCTTTTTAGAATCGATATTTTTTGTTTCGTGTATTCTTATTTTATTCGTCATTGTTTTTTATATGAAAAAACTTGAATTATTTGTTAGACTTATATTTTGTTTTGAAGAAGACAAATTGGATATCTCTCGACTCTAACAAGACCCCAAAATATCAGAAGGTTGACAACAACGTCACAAAGCAATTAAAGATACCAAAATAGCGATAACTTAACGTTACATGTTATATACGTGACAAGTAATGAAAATAAAATGAGATAATTATTTTTCAATAAAGTTTAAAAATACGAAGAAAAAGAAGATTCTTAAAAAAAAAAACTAAATAAATGAGTTGATAAATAATTTAGATTAAATTATTTTTTTATTTTTTGTAGTCATCACTCACTATCAAACTTAATTTTTATTTTAAACTAATTACAGTTTTGGTCATTATGTGATAAATACATCTTTTAATCCATATTTATAATCAAAATATCTTCATTTATATTGGTTTTATGTATTTTATGAGCTATCTAAGTCTGCTATTATGTTTATTGATGAATACGAGCAAAAAGGAATGAAAAGCCGTGAAAAAGTGGGCGACTTTAGTCGTATCAAGGTCGCATTAGTTACCGTGAATCATAGTTTTTTAAATGTCTGCAGAGATGAGCGTGTTTTCTCAAACGACAACTCAAGCAGACATATCTTTTCAAATGATCGTTGGCTTGAGCATACTTTTCAAAGGACGACAAATTTAGTGGACTTGATGGTTTTTAGTGCTTTTGAAGGTTTATAAGCCACATTTGATGGGCTAGACACCCGTCAATCCGTCATTATGGTTGTCATTTTGTTTTATTTTTGGTCTCTTTGACAACTCTAGTTAAAAAAGGTTAATTAACTTAAGGAAAAAAGACAAAAAATGTAAAAGTACCAAAATACCTTTAAGTTTACTAATTTTTTAAACTAGATTTAGTCAGAGGGACAAAACTGAAACAAAATGGTAACACAGTGACTAAAATTGTAATTAGTTTAAAATAGAGACGAAACTTGATCGTGGGTGGCAACTGATAATATGTTTTAGATAGGAACCAAACTTGATCGTGGTTGGCAACCACAAGGACCAAAAATGTAATTTACTCAAAGAAATTTATTTAAATCGGTTCTCATGAGTTTATAACCTTTTTATGGTTCTCATTTGATTTGACCCATATATGTATGTACATATATCCTCTCTCTTCTTCTCTGTCACGTCGAACCACGTTCGATCATAATTGGGTTTCGATAGTGAATTACCTAGATAACAAAAACCTGATCCCCGATGAACTTGTTGGGAGAAAAGACCACTCCAATGAAATTGTGGTAATGATTTACATTGTGACACAAACCTGTCAATATTATATTATTAATGATTCACAATGTGAATTATCAGACACATTAATGTTATGGTTTTTACTGATTCTGTGTATTATGTTTATTGTTTTTATCTTATTGATAATTTTGAGTTTTTTTTTTTCAAGTTATAAACCATGTCTGAAACGTATGGGTACCATGGAATCACATTATTTGGCTACTGAATCAACTTGCATGTTATGTACTAATTACGTTGGTAAAATTCACAGTATGAAACACACCTGTCGTTTATCAGATCTAATGTTCATAAAGATTCATAATGTGAAATCACACATGTGAATACAATGTTAGTCATGATTCATAGTGTGCACATTATTACTATCATCCAAATTATCAAAGAGTTCATAGTTTATATATCCCTCATCCAAAAATCAACCTTTTATTATTTAAAAATTGTGATTTAATAAAAATATTTTACTAAATCAATTATTTAAAATACTCAATGGTAACATGATAAATGCTCTAAATTTAGGGGGCGTTTGGTTTATCGGAATCCGCCGGAATCTGGTGGAATTGGAATGGTCAATTCCGTTGACCAAATTCCAGTCCAACGTTTGGTTACCCATGGAATGGAATTGAATTCCAAACATTCTCTCATTTGAAGATTTCACCATTCCTTCATAAAAGTGATGGAATTGAAATCCATTCCATTCAAAATTGTGTAAATGACAAAAATACTCTCTTCTAGTTTCATCATCTGCTTAACGATTTATGCTTGCTTCCCGTTTCTTCTTATCAATTACTGTTGTTGCTTAACGATTTTTGCTTATTTGTTGCTTCCAGTTTTTGCTTAACGGTTAAAAAAATATCAAAGAAAGAGTATTTTTGTTCTTTTTCATCATTCCATTCTAACTCTGTTGCAAACCAAACAGGCAGATTCCAATTCATTAAACATATTACATTCCATTCCTTCCAACCAAACACTTGGTCAAACTTGATAACATTCCATTTCAATTCCTTCCAAATTCCAATTCCTTTGACAGATTCTATTCCTTCATAAATCATTATGCGAACCAAACTCCCCCTTAGACGATATAAGACTCCAACGTGTCCTCAAACGGAGGCTAGACGAGCATAAATTATCTTAGAGTGCCGAGAGAAGGCTTAACAGTTAAACAAATTGCCTTTCGATGTCAAGTCGTTAAAGTGATAGACTTTGACTCTGATACCATATGAGATTTCTGTATTTACTATTCAAAAGATTTCGTTAAGAAAAGAAGATAAGTTTTAACCTATATGAAAGATAAACAATACAAATCTATCTGATGTAAAACTCTAACACTAAAAATAAAAAAATTATCAAAAGCAAAGATATATTTAAATTCGATTGGAGAAAAAGATTTAGATTTTGTAGGATTAAACAATTTGTACAAATAATTAATTAATAAAAAGAAGAAAATTAGGCGTGTGGGTGTGGTGTGGGATGTGGGGCCACTAAAGGGTCAATGACTCGTTTTGAAAATATTAAACAAAGTAGTTGTTCATATGAAGAAAAAACACAAAAATCAATTTCAAAAATATTATTTTATTTTATTTTATTTTAATAAATAATTTCCAGGATTGTGGAACAAATAAATCATTATTTTTATAAAACATTAATTTTTCAATAATGATTTTTTATAGTTTGTGAAAAAGAAAATGGTAGTTGAAAATAAAATATTTGTTTTTGAGTAAATTATGGATTTGGTCTCTATAGCTTGGTAAAATTTACGGGATTGGTCCTTGCATTTTATTTTGTACATAAAAACCATCTATGTTTACATTTTTTTTTTTGGAATTGGTCTACGACTGTAACATCCGTTGACCACTTTCATCTGTTAACTAGCTATCCCGTAGCCTTCTCATCACTGCCCGTTCTTCATCTCGCTCTTCTTCTTCTCTCTGGCGCCCCGAACCTTCGACATGCCTAGTGTTTTCATTTCACTACTGATAAATGCTTCAACATGACTGGTTTTATTAATTCACCAAGCAATAATTTCTAGAATCTCCAAGGACTCCATCCTTTTGATGAATTGATAAACCATCTAAACTACATCTTTGCAACAACGAGATGGTTTTGAAAACCCACCCACCTCCATCTTTAGACCCTCGAAACCCTGTTTCCGTAACTTATGTGCCTATTGTAGAGAAAAGAAAGATAGAAAGCAAGAGGGGGCATTTGTTCTTTGACTGAGTTTTGTTTGTCGACGTAGACCTTGATCAAACCCTGACCTCCATCCACCACCTCCTTTTATCTCCTTCTAACCTCCACCTACCGCCATACACGTAACCACCACTTCATTCTCACCCCCACATGAAACTTCCACCTTACTCTCCTGTTTTTTCAAAAATCCCTCCACTAGTAACAGGATCCGTCTGCCATACCTGATTAATTCTAGTTTTTCTTTTTCTTTTTGCCATACCATGTTTAAAAGCCAAATGTCTAAAATGCCCTTCATTTAATTAGATTTAACAAAAGAAGATAACATACGTGAGGGTCAAAAACCAATTATGTAGTAAAATGCAAACCTTAAAGAGGTTTTATATAACAAATAAAGTTCAAGGACCAATTTTGTCATCTTCCCCAATCCGTAATTCACTCTTGATTTTTTTTAATTTGCAGGTGATAAATATTCATATCCCAAATAAAGGAACAAATCTTGAACAAATATCTGCAATTTATGTTTCACACAACGCAAAACCTTCCTTCTTGGGTGCTTCCACATCTTCCTGCTAATAAATTTCCATTAAAGAACCAGTCAACCATTCCTACCCTCATCTCACTTCCTCCATATATATATCCCCCATACAACCTTTCCCTCTCTCATCCACACTTCAAAACTATCCATCTCATCTCATCTCAGCTTACCACAAAGATCAACTCTGGGTCTTTAGATTCGATCTGTTAAGAAGTTGAATCGATCTGTTTTCTGTACTGACTTTGGAACCCATCAAGCTTTTCATGATGGGTAAATTTTTGGGTCTTCTTTTTTGCGTTTTGATATCGAATTTGGGCCTATCTTATGCTCAAAATTGCAGCAATTATGCCTTTTCTAACAACGCAATCTTCGCCACATGCGTCTCTTTACCTGTTTTGAACGGGCATCTCCACTGGAACTACCATTCCAACAGCACCGTCGATGTGGCTTTCCGGCACACTGGATCGGAAGCTTCTCAATGGGTTGCTTGGGCTCTCAACGTTAACGGGTCGGGTATGATTGGGGCTCAAGCTCTTGTGGCTGTAACCAGCTCARACGGGTCGGTTCGAGCTTATACTTCATCAGTAACCAGCTATGCAACCGGTCTGCAACCCAGCAACTTGAGTTTTCCAGTGCCCAGGATAAGGGCGGAAAGGGTGGATGGCGATGTGGTCATTTTTGCGACGTTGGTTTTGCCAGGTGGAGGGACGAGATTTAATCAGGTATGGCAGGTGGGTCCTGTTACTAGTGGAGCTCCGGCTAGACATGCACTGGTTGCTGATAATCGGGCTTCTGTCGGAACAGTGGATTTTTCAACCAGTAATGGTACTGGGTCGCCGCCGCCGACGCCGACACCGACTCCGACAACGCCAACGACGCCAACGACGCCGACGACGAGAAATGTAAGTCTTTAACTTGGTTGCTTGTTTCATCTTCATTAATTCTCACTGTTACCATCTGTTCATCAAGATGATCTAAAGATACGATCTTGATTGATGAAATCTCGCAAACCCACTTCCACAATAATCGAGAAATCTTTCAATTAATCATAACCCTCTCGATTTCTGCGTATTCATATCGAATCTGGTCTATCTTTATCCTCAGGATTGCATCAATTTTGCCTTCTCCAACAACTCCAACTACGCCACATGCGTCTCTTTACCTGTTTTGAACTCGCATCTCCACTGGAACTTCAACACCAACCGCACCGTCGACGTGGCTTTCCGGCACGCTGGATCAGAAACATCCCAATGGGTTGCTTGGGCACTCAATCTTCAAGGGTCGGGTATGCTTGGGGCCCAAGCTCTTGTGGCTGTAACCAGCTCAAACGGGTCGGTTCGAGCTTATACTTCATCAGTAACCAGCTATCAAACCAGTCTGCAGCCCAGCAGTTTGAGTTTTGAAGTGCCCATGATAAGGGCGGAGAGGGCCGATGGCGATGTGGTGATTTATGCGACGTTGGTGTTGCCTAATGACGGGACGACATTTAATCAGGTATGGCAGGTGGGTCCTGCTACTGACGGAGTTCCGTCTGTTCACTCACTGGTGGGTGATAATCGGCGTTCTGTCGGAACGGTGAATTTTGCAACCGGTCAGGCCGGCGGCGGCGGTAATGTTGGTGGGTCGCGGCAGCGGCGGAGAAACGTAAGTCTCTAACTTGGTTAATTATCAAGATTATTTGAAGCAAGATACATGTGTTTTGTTTATCAAAGATACGATCTTTTTGATGAAATCTTGCAAATCCACTTTCAGAAATCGACAAATCTTGCAATTAATTATGAACCCACTTGATTAAACAAAAGAATATTAAATCTTTTTAATTGTTTGACAGACTCACGGAGTGTTGAATGCGGTTAGTTGGGGAGTATTGATGCCCATGGGAGCCATGGCAGCAAGATATTTGAAGGTGTTTAATGTAGCTAATCCAGCCTGGTTTTACATCCATGCTGCTTGCCAAACTTCAGCCTATATCGTGGGTGTCGCCGGATGGGCCACCGGACTCAAACTTGGAGGTGACTCTACTGGAATCCGATACGATAAGCACCGGAATATCGGAATCACCCTCTTTGCAATTGGAACACTTCAGGTACACCCCATCCTTTTTTTCCATCTTTGCTTACAATTGACGTGAACCCAACAAAATTTATCAAACGATGCACGCCTAAATCAAGGACTACGGTCCATATATTTGACATTGATAACATATTCGATTCAAACTGATTGTGTGGTTGTATTCCTTGCAGGTTTTTGCGCTGCTTTTGAGGCCTAAACCAGAGCACAAATACAGAATTTACTGGACCATCTACCACCAGAGCCTTGGATACTCGGTGATCGTTCTGAGCATCATCAATGTGTATGAAGGGCTCGATATCTTGGACCCCGAGAAGAAGTGGAAGAACGCGTACACGGGAATACTTATCTCTTTGGGGGTAATGACAGTTGTGTTGGAAGCTTTAACATGGTACATCGTTTTGAAGAGGAAGAAGGAAGACAAAAGAACACATGCAGGAGCCAATGGTTCGTCATATGCTGCCAATGGACACGGGCAGTCGGCATAGATGATTGGTTTTACGGGTCGATTTGTTGTTTTACTTTCTGGGTGTTGAGAGCTATATTCTTTGTCGAGATATATATATATATATATATGGATATATGTATGTAGGTATACAATTTTCATGCTTATTTTGAGCTTTTCCGATTCTTAGTTGATGCTTTTGAGTCTCTTGATCTACACTAACAATTGTTTTCTTATTCACATAAAAATCAAATCTAACGAACTCAATATATCTATAAGGGATGGGGTTTAAAACCGGAAACTTAACAAGCATGATCTAAAACGTGTCTCCATCAATCAGACTCAACTTCCGATACCCGATCCCTCCTTGGTTTTAATGTTCTATTAAATGGAACTTCACTTCCCCATCTTTTTCGGGTTGATTTGGCTGTTTCGTTGAAGAAATTAAGTGACGGTTCTAGAAAAGTTTATCTTCGGGGACATAATATAAAATAAAATAATAAATAACTAATATCAAACAAATACCGAATCATCCCCTGAATCCTATACACACACATATATAGAGAAACTCATTCAAGAGAGAACATATTTATTTGTGGTAATCATGAGATCCAATAAGAACCACTCGTTTGAAATATTTAAGGATATTTTTTAAATAAGCTAAAAGGGTAACATAGTAATTTTGTTTTTGATAACTAATCAAAATATTAAATTAAATTTTTCAGAAGGAAATATTTAAATAAAATTAGTTACTTAGTATATTATAATTACCTAATACACATCGTATTTTAAAGACGTTTGTGAATCAAAGTGTATCATGGTGATAACGTTCACAATGTTTCACGTGTATCACAATGTATTTTCTTTGTTTTTATGAAATGTATCATAGCATGTATTTTCATTACTTTACAAAGAGTGTAATATTGTGCATCTTGTATGTATATTTGGGTATCACAACGTGTATTTTGTGTATAATTAAGGTTCATCTGAATAAGGTTTGCCGAAAAAGATTCGTCGTAGAGAGGAAAAGAGAAGAGATGAGAGAGGATATTTATAAAATGCTCTTAATTAATACTTTAAATTAAAATTACCAAAATTATTAATTTATTAATTTAACATTTGATTTGTGGTTGAGATTGGATTTAACGGTTATTACAAACAAAACAGTTCTCATTTGATTATGTTCATATATATAGGGGTGAGTTCATTTGTTAACCCAATTAATAGTGTTAACTTTGTGAACCAATCATAACCTTTAATCTTTATAATCTATGGATAAAATTCATCATGACATTTTTGTAACAAATTAAAAAAAGGATGTTTAATAAACATAGATGAACAATCATGAACAATGGGTAATTTTGGAAAAAGTAGCGAGATTTATTTTAGCATTAATTAACTTTCTGGTAATTAATTCATTGTTTTGAAACCCACATCAAGCTTTAATTATTCTTTCATTTATTAATATGTAACGTGTAACTTATAAATGATGTGAATTAATGAACAACTACTATATATGAGTACCTTATGAACATTGTTCATGAATGAAAATATAACATATATGAAAATGTTCATTAGTGAACACATACCTGAATGTGTACGTATGTGTGACTGATGAACAGTGTTCACCAATGAACAACTTGTCAATATGAACAATGTTCATTATTAAACATTAAGTGCACGCTCATTCATGCCGATTACTACCATGTTCATATCGATCATCCATATTATACGATACACGAGACACAACAAACTCGTTCGATTAAGAATATTGACTATTGAAGTGTTATTGATTATTTCTCAAAATACATTCGTTTATAAATAATCACAAACAATATAACTTACAACAAATTGATAATTTCAAAATGGCTAAATTCAAGGAGTACTGTAACTCCCATTTAAATGTATTAAAGTAATACAAAACATAATCTTACCATTTTGCTCTCATTCATTAATTACACACACACACACACACACACACACACACATATATATAGGTGGAGGTTCAAACGAGAACCCCTGTGATTTACGAAAACGCGAGAACAACTCAATAACCACAAACTTTTTTAATTAATAAATTAACTTTTATTATATATAAATAATTTAATAAGGGCAGTAATGTAATTAAGTAATTTTTATAATTTTTATTTTATTTTAATTAACAATGTTTATCTTCACGTTTCCACGTCTTCTTCTCCTTCATTGATCACGTCTTCTTCTCCTTCATTCATGCGTCTCCAAATCACACCCTATCACACCAAATCGGTAGTCGATTTTTTAAGTTAACCCTAGCCGAACGGAATCCTTGTGATAATTGTGTGATAATCACATGATTATCACACCCAAATCACACCAAATCATGTTGATA